TAACTTTTTTGTTTTTCGAGATAAATGCGTCATGTTTGGGCTCATTTTAAAGGTTATTTAATAAGGATTACGAATACATTAAAATTAAAGTTGACATTAACACCATGAAGTTGTCAAACTTTGGTTTGAAATGTCCTGCTCAATTTTGACGTATTTGTAATCGTCATTAAGAATCCTTTGAAATGAGTACTAACACGACACATTTCATTTCAATATTAATGAAGTTGTGGTCAATTTACGGTTTGAAATGTCAACGTCAACTTTGACATATTCGTAATTTTATCAAAATGTCTTAAAATAAATATAATTTTTCATAAAAAACGAAAATAGAAGAAAAAATTTAAAAATTAAGGTTGGTATTAATATTTAAAAATTATGTTGCTAACTTCATTGTTGCCACTTCCGGTTTAATATTTTTAATTATAACTTTTTTGTTTTTCGAGATAAATGCGTCATGTTTGGGCTCATTTTAAAGGTTATTTAATAAAGGTTATGAATATAATAATGAAATTAAAATTGACGTTGAGACCTTAAAATTTTTTTTAGCCGTGCGTTTAAACTGTTTCAAAAAACACGAAAATCATTTTTATTGAACTAAAACTAGAACTAATATTAGACCTAGAAACATTTGGGTTTATCCATACGTCTCTTAGGGCTGTTAAACTCAAATGATTCTAGTTCTACTATACAATCTAATATACCTACTTTTCTAATATCTTTCAACTACTTCTATAAAACTAGAACTAACACTAGACCTAGAACTAGAAAGTTGCGGGTTGGGTTGGGTTGAATATTTCTAGTTCTAGGTTTAGTGTTAGTTCTAGTTTTACACAAGCACTGTTACTATGTAGAACTAACACTATACCTATAACTAGAATCATTTGGGTTTAGCCGTCTTAAGAGACGTGCGGCTAAACCCAAATGATTCTAGTTATAGGTATAGTGTTAGTTCTGGTTTTACACAAGCACTAATATACAACCTACAACCAGAAACATTCAGACATGTTGCATTTTATGTGGGACAAAGTAAGTAGGTACGCCCTCGTTTCTATAAAAACATATTTTTGTATATTGTATAAAATAAAATAAATTATTCAATTAATTATACATATGTAATTAGCAATCTTTTTAACTTACTCAACCATTTTTATCGCAAACCTAAGCAAATATTTATTCAAAAAAAAATAAACTGATTATAAACCCGCTCAAAGACATTCTCGCACATAATACTATATTCTTTATCTTATCGGTACTATTTTTTACATTAAAAGTCGCGACTCGATCCTAATTTTTTTTTAAACTCAGTATCAAATTAATCCCGATCGAATAACAATCGCTTCATAAAACCCGTTTGAAATTATTTACCCGTTCGTTAACGAGATGACCAAAAGTGTTAAGATTTCGTACAAACACTCGCAAATTGAATTAGTGAGAGAACGCGCGTTTAAAACGTGAAATCTCATAACGCCAGCGAACAGTTTTTAAGTTAAAGTTGAACCGATGTTGTTAAATATGGATTCTCCGCCGAGCGATCGACGATTATTGATCGGAGATGAATCTCCTTTAACTCCAAATCCGAATAATTATAATAATAACGGTGGTGGTGGTGGTGGTCCCGGGGATATTTCCCCCGGAGTTTATTTTCCAAAAAGGTTAGTTTGATTGTAATCACGTGAAATAAAAAAAAATTTATTCCAAGAAAAAAATCTTATCGTTAATCCGGGATTAATAAGAAATTTATTTCGTTGTAAATGAAATAAAATTGATGAAAAAACAACTTAAAAATAGAAAAATAAATATGACGTAGTTAATAAGAATAATAAGCGCCAGGTTATTATTAAATATAACAAAATTAAGTGTTAATCACTTAAATTCCATCTAATTGGAATAATACATTCAGCATTGACGAAAACAAATTTGCCAATCCTTAATAATTTAATTTTGCGACTTCGTTAGTTTTGGTTTATGATTGTTGTAAAAGTATTTATAGATTTTTTATGTTTTATGATTTAATTTTTTGTGTTTTAGGAGAGCTCGACCTGGTGTGCAACCACGTGTTAAGAAGCGAGCAATTCTAAAAAACGGCGAATGCAACATTCTTCAATCGCGCATCAAAAAGCGGCGCTTAAAATTCCTTCAAGATATTTTCACCACCCTCGTTGACGCGCAATGGAGATGGACCCTAATTATTTTCGCGTTGAGTTTTTTGCTATCCTGGTTAGGATTCGCCGTAATTTGGTGGCTAATTGCTTTCACGCACGGCGATTTCGAAGAATTACATCTCCCCGAGAATCAAAACGCGTCCGGTTGGACGCCGTGTGTGAGCGCCTTGAATAGTTTTACTTCGTGCTTCTTGTTTAGCATTGAAACTCAACACACGATCGGTTATGGTGGACGCGCGACCACCGAAGAATGCCCCGAAGCTATTTTTGTTATGTGCTTACAAAGCATTGCGGGAGTTATGATACAAGCAAGTTTAATTTAAAACAAAAATCCATTTTAATTAATTTAATTAACTTTTTTAGGCTTTCATGGTAGGAATAGTATTCGCGAAAATGACTCGGCCTAAACACCGCACCCAAACGCTCCTTTTCTCGAGAAACGCCGTAATCTGTCAGCGAGATGGTTATTTGTGCTTAATGTTTAGAGTGGGCGATATGCGAAAAAGCCATATAATCGGGGCTAGCATTCGAGCGCAATTAATTCGGCCCAAAACAACGAAAGAAGGCGAAAATTTGCAACAATACCAAACGGAGTTATCGGTTTCAGCTGATGGTTGCGATGGGGATCTTTTCTTTATTTGGCCCATGACCATTGTGCATAAAATCGATGAAGATTCCCCGCTTTACACTTTATCCCCAAGAAATTTTTTGAACGAACAATTCGAAATCGTCGTCATTTTAGAGGGCACCATTGAAAGTACCGGGCAAACCACGCAAGCTCGATCAAGTTACATAGCAAACGAAGTCCTTTGGGGGCACCGCTTCGAACCCGTCGTTAGTTACAGCAAAGATAGAAGAGGCTACGAAGTTAATTACTCGAAATTCGATAATGTCATCGAGGTTGATACCCCACTTTGTTCTGGTTATGAATTAGCCAATATTTGTATGAGCACAATGGGTAAGTTTTAAGTTTAATTTGAAGCTTCTTGTGACGTCTCATCATTGTTTTTCTTAGACCCTATCGATACAATATCCTTACAAAGGACACCCAGCGAGATACAAACCCCCGAAGACAACCCTGTGTAATCGTTTCTAAAAGTTTTAAAGTTCCTAATACAAAAGTAATAAATTAGAATCTCATTTCTTAGATGTTAAATCCCTTTTGGGCGAATCCCCCTCTTTGATCCAAGCGATTCGGATGTGTGATAGCTCGGATTTATTCCCCAATGATAAAGAACCCGACGAGGAAGGTTACGACACTGATAAAGGAATTGTAATTCATCCCCACGATGATACCGACTCTAATAATGGAGATAGTGATGATGATTTTAAAAAAGCTAATTCTAAATTGAAATCTGAATCGAACGATCGATTTGAAACGGACGTCTAAATTAAACATTAATATTGCAATTAAGTATTTTTGTAGATAATAATTATTTTAAGTAAATTTATTTAAAGAAATTATTAATTTATTTATTTAAAAAAACAGGCAACCCAAATTACTTTGATTCATAAAAATTTTGATCTTTTTGATAATATCAAAAGATGGCGCTGCGTCATAAGATAATTACTAAAAATTAATAACATAATTAAACACTTTATTATGTTATATTAATCAATTTTATTTGATTTATATTCTAATTTGTATATAAATTTAAAAAATTATAAGATTTTAGTTCACACCTTTTTTTGATAGTTAACCTCAAACCTATTTCTAATCAATTTAATTCAATTGATTTATTTCAAATTGCAATAAAAATCTGTTTTATGATATATTTATGATATAAAAATCTGTTTTATAATTAAATACCTAATTATAAATCAAAAATCATTTTTGACATTAATTTAAATTCAAATTGGGGAAATTTTCTTGATAAAATTTAAGTTGGCAACAAATTTTTTTAAAGTCAATTTTAATAATAATCAAAATAATTCAAGCTAATAAAATAACTAATATATTAGTTTAATGAATTAGCTACATAACGATTTATATTTGTTTAAAACAAATTTGTTATTAATTATTAATTAACCAAGAAGAGTTTAAGTGGTGTTTGTGTCAACAGATGGCGCTGCACCACAAGTTGGTTATTAAAAATTAATAAATAAAATTTTTAAACATTTACATTTATTATTTACTAATTGAACACTTTATTACGATATATTAATCAATTTTATTTGATTTATATTCAAATTTATACATAAATTTAAAAAAATTTAAGATTTTACTTCAAAACTTTTTTTGACAGTTAACCTAACCTCAATCTTAAGAAATTTATCAAAAACCTATTTCTAATCAATTTAAGATTAATTAATTCAATTGATTTATTTCAAATTGCAATAAAAATCTGGGAAAAAAGGATGAATAAAGTGGTTGTATGAAAATAATACAGTGAAACTCTTTGTTAAGACTGTAAACAATAAAAGAATGTTTAAATGCAAATTTATTAGACGGATTTAACACTAAAGGAAGAAAAATACTCATCTATCAAAAAGGAACGTCTTGTAATTGTATTTGAAGTTTGTGCTTGTACATAAAGAAGATTCATGATGCATAGCTATTAAGATTAATGAGATGGAAGATTAATTAGGGCCTGAAGACACTAACACTGAAGTTACCAGTACAATTGTACTAAATACAAGGTTGAAAATACATTTTAATACTATAATTATGAACTGAGTCTCAATCGTTTAAGCAAATTTTTTAAAATTAATCAATTNTAATTGAATTCACATACCTGTGGTATAGATTCAGGTAAGATGCATGTGAGGGATATGGCAAAAAGAGCTAATAAGGTGATAGGGAAGGTCTAGAGAAAGAGAAAGATTATGTTTGTTGATTTACTGGACGAAAGGTGTATAGTGACGCACGAAAAATAAAAGATCCTTCAAAAAATTCAAGGTTGGAGGTTTTGACACGCATGTACTTGTTGTTATATAATTAATTAATTAGTTAAAAATGTTATTGGAATAACCAAATGTCAAGTTGAGAAAGTTGACAGGTGACAGCACACATTGTCAAGATTAATTATCTGAATGTAGCCTAATATAATCTAATAATTTATAAAAAAATAAACAATTCACTATAAATAATGTTTGCATGTCAATGAAAGATTTATATCTTAAGATTGCAAGATATATCAAGATGGTNTGCACACAAAAACTTTCTTTTAAAATCTTTAACAAATTAAAAATTTTCTATTTAAAAACATTTTTTTAGTGACTTTTATTTTTTCACCATGTCAAAAACAAATGTCACCAAGTTAGACAGAAATGTGAGTAAAAAAAGTGGTTATGGTCATTAACACTCCGTAAATTCGCTTTAAACCGAGATAAAATATTTATTTACAATAAATTAAGCAATATTACGAAGAAATCGATTAATTTAAACCGACTTAACCTACACGATTCAGTACAATCGATACGTAACTACGTTAATGCCACGTTTTCCGTCGACTCGGCGTAACCTCGTGTTTATTAATAGTTCTCGCTTTATTTAATTTCTACCGTAGTTTTTAATAATGGGTCGTAAGAAGCATCAGCACGAGCCGAATCAAAATTCGGGCGAATCGACCGAGTCGTACGATGAGAATCAAAATTCGACGAAATGTCCGCACCTAAATAAAGCGGTCGATTTGACAAAAATAAAAAAGGGGCTCCAAAAAAGCGGTTTGCGTAAAGATTGCGAAGAGTGCACTCGAAATCCGATCCCCCACAGTTTGGATATACCCGAAGGAATGATTTTTGATGATTCTTTGTGGTTGTGTTTGCAATGTGGTAATCAAGCGTGTGGTCGGAGTGTTAATAAACATGCACTTAAGCATTATAATACCCCACGTTCTGATAACCACACTTTATGTTTAAATACCTCAAATTGGTCAGTGTGGTGTTATAAATGTGATAATGAAGTTAACACCACTGCCTCTAAAAAGTTATTGGAAGCTGTTGAGTATTTGAAAAAGAATTCTGAGCAAGGAAAAGTAAAACAGGAGAAATTGGTGAGTGTGTGTAATGATGATGTTGTTGAAGATGATGTAATGATGAAATTAAACCCACTTTTGAACCCTTTAAGTATTAAAAGAACCATTGGGTTAAGAAATTTAGGAAATACTTGTTTTTTTAATGCTGTTATACAATGTTTGAGCCACACCCCTTATTTGCTGGAGTTATTAAAAGAAACATCAATGGAGTCCCAAAAATTTCAACTACCAGGAGGAAAATTAATCATCGATGATACCACCTTAGACTTAGAACCTTTAGAAGGGAATTTAGAACAATGGAGACAACTAGCGAAAGCTTTAGCTGAAACTATGGAGGTTCTACAAAACGGAGAAGGCGAAGTTTTCTCCCCAAAAAATCTCCTATCAAAATTAACCGACCGTATGCCTCAATTCGTCATCGGGGAGCAACACGACTCCCACGAACTGTTAAGACACCTTTTAGAAGCGGTTAGAGAAGAAGATTCAAAACGCTACCAAAGGGAAATTCTTAACAAATTCGGTTTAAGTACAAAAACGATCCCCTCATTAGTCGAAAATGAAAAACGAGCTGTGATCAAATTTTACGGCCAACAAGCATCGGAATTATTATCGCCCACCGAACAAGTCTTCCGCGGAATTCTCGTCAGCACGTTACAATGCGAAGATTGCTCGCACACCTCGCACCGCGACGAATTCTTCCTAGATTTAAGTCTCCCGATTATCGAAAAGCAAAAACCGCCCCGCCGAAAAGCCGACGAAATCGAAGATAAATCAAAGTATCAAATTAAAAAGGAAAAACGGGCGGCGAAAAAAAATAAAAAAAATCGCGGCCCGAAAGGAATCGGCGGTTCGTTTGAAAGTAACGATTCGACTGGGAATGCGGAAGAACGCAATTCGGGTTGGGAATCGGACGCCGATGTTGAAGATAACCTCGATGAAAATAAAACTAAAGATGAGAAATCGATTTTACCCGCTTTGGAATTTATGGGGTCGCCGTCGGGGACGATAATAAGTAATGAAATGGAAGTTGCTGAAAATAGTTCGTCGTCGAGTGAAGCTGAAATTAAACTTACAAATTCATCACAAGATAATAATGAGTAAGTATAATTAAATACAGGTGTCTCACACAACTGGTTTGTTTTTTAGGAACTTTTTAGGTTCCACTATTTGTATAGTTTTGAATAAGTTATTGGTACCTAGCGTTTTTCGTTTTCGAGTTCTATATCCTAGCTAAAGTTAATTCAAAAAAGCTCTACATTATACCTAACTTAGCCCTATACCTAAAACTAACACTATATACTTAGTTATAGGTATAGTGTTAGTTCTACTACTACACAGCTAAAAAAAACTTTTAGGTGCCAACGTCATCATTAATTTCATTATTACATTCGTAATCTTTATTAAATAACCTTTAAAATGAGCCCAAACATGACGCATTTATCTCGAAAAAGAAAAAAGTTAGAATAAAAAATATTAAACCTGAAGTTGGCAACAATTAAATTAACAACATAATTTTTAAATATTAATACCAACCTTAATTTTTGAGATTTTTTCTTCTATTTTCATTTTTTATGAAATATATTTATTTTAAGACATTTTGATAAAATTACGAATATGTCAAAGTTGACGTTGACATTTCAAACCGTAAATTGACCACAACTTTATTAATATTGAAATGAAATGTGTCGTGTTAGTACTCATTTCGAAGGATTCTTAATGACGATTACAAATACGTCAAAATTGAGGTGGACATTTCAAACCAAAGTTTGACAACTTCATGGTGTTAATGTCAACTTTAATTTTAATGTATTCGTAATCCTTATTAAATAACCTTTAAAATGAGCCCAAACATGACGCATTTATCTCGAAAAACAAAAAAGTTAGAATAAAAAATATTAAACCTGAAGTTGGCAACAATTAAGTTAGCAACATAATTTTTAAATATTAATACCACCCTTAATTTTTGAGATTTTTTCTTGTATTTTCGTTTTTTATGAAAAATTATATTTATTTTAAGACATTTTGATAAAATTACGAATATGTCAAAGTTGACGTTGACATTTCAAACCGTAAATTGACCACAACTTCATTAATATTGAAGATAAATATGTCGTGTTTGTACTCATTTTAAAGGATTTTTAATGACGATTACAAATACGTCAAAATTGAGGTTGACATTTCAAACCAAAGATTCAAAGGTTGACAAACGTGTTAATGTTAACTTTAATTTTGATGTATTCGTAATCTTTATTAAATAACCTTTAAAATGAGCCCAAACATGACGCAGTTATCTCGAAAAACAAAAAAATTAGAATAAAAAAATATTAAACCTGAAGTTGGCAGCAATGAAGTTAGCAACATAATTTTTATACAGAGTGTCACACAAAAAACGCCCCAATCTGTAACTCTGTTATTTACATTCCGATTTTTATGGCACAGGTATCAAATGAAATGGTTTTATAAATACTATAATTCATGCTACAAATAAATTTTTTCCAACGCCATCTTCAATTTCATGCGATTAATAACTTTTGTTTTTTCAGTTGCTGCGTATATTTTTCTTCGCGTCATTGGATAGAGATTGTTTTTCTGAATCCATTAATGTACAATACATCACATTAATTGTAATTGACAGAGTTACAGCTTGGGGCGTTTTTTGTGTGACACCTGTATATTAATACCAACCTTAATTTTTTAGATTTTTTCTTGTATTTTCGTTTTTTATGAAAAATTATGAAATGTCAAAATTGACATTGACATTTCAAACCGGAAATTGATCACAACTTCATTAATATTGAAATGAAATATGTCGTGTTAGTACTCATTTCAAAGGATTCTTAATGACGATTACAAATAGGTCAAAATTGAGGTTGACATTTCAAAGTTGACAACTTCATGGTTTTAATGTCAACGTTAATATTGATGTATTCGCAATCCTTATTATTAACATGATACATTTATTTCGAAAAACAAAAAAGTTAGAATAAAAAATATTAAATGTGATAGATTGTAAAATAAAGTTTTACTCCATTATATTTAATAAATATAAAACCTGAAGTTGGAAATAATGAAGTTAGCAACATAATTTTTAAATATTAATACCAACCTTAATTTTTGAGATTTTTTTCTGGTATTTTCGTTTTTTTAGCCGTCTTTAGGTGAGAGGTATAGTATCGAGTAGTAGAACCTGAAAAAGTTCTAATGAATCAGTAACGTGAGACACCCTGCATAATTAAATACATTTATTTTATTTATTTGAAGTAAAAAAGAATTTGAACGACCGGAATCAAGACTTTCTTTTGTACATAACTCAAAAGGTGATTTAAAAGAAGATTTAGAAAAATTATTACTTAACGATGGTGATAGTCAAAAAGTGGATAACGTTTTTGTAAAAGACGCTGAAGTCGGTGTTGAAGGAGCCGCTTGTATGGATGAAGTAGATGATGATCAAAAAATGGATGAGGATGAAGATGATTCGGATATGTGGATGGAAACGATGGCCCCACGATATCAATGCGAAGAAGGGGAATGTTCCGTTCAATCCTGTTTGAACCAATTCACCGCGTGCGAACTGATGACTTCCAATAATAAAGTTAGTTGTGAATTGTGCACAAAAAGACACGGTGGGGCCGACAAAAAAACCGTCTACACAAACGCCCATAAACAATTATTGATTTATAATCCCCCCGCCGTTTTAATTCTACATTTAAAACGATTTCAAGTTTACCATTATCGGCCCACTAAAGTTAGTAAGCATGTCGCGTTTCCGATGGTATTAGATTTAGCACCGTATTTATCAAAGAGATCTCAAGGACTTTCTACTTTTGAAACTGGACAAACTCAGGTAAAATTTAAAAATAATTTTTGTTTTATTTTTAATCAACTCTTTTTAGGTTCTTTATTCTTTATATGGAGTTGTTGAACATAGCGGAACAATGCATGGTGGTCATTATGTAGCTTACGTAAAAGTACGCCCTAAATTGGAACCGAATAGTTATCGTTGGCAATTTTTACCAAAAAATCAAAAACAAACTAAATCGGATGAGGTGAGAGGGGCGCACGGAATTCCACAAACACCACCGGGAAAGTGGTACCACGTAAGCGATTCTTACGTTGCCGAAGTGCAAGAAACAAGCGTGCTAAGAGCCCAAGCTTATCTCTTATTTTACGAGCGGATATATTGAGTTTTTTTTTTGTATTATTCGAATTCAATTTGGTCTTGTTTTAATCGTATTTCGCTTTTAAACCACATAATTCTTTTTTACCATCTTAATGTGATGTTTTTTTTAATAGTGTAATAAAAATTAATAAATCTTGAAAGGAGTAAAATTTTATGTTTTTAAGTTGGCAACCCTAAAATTTGACAATTAACCCCTTAGCAAAATAATTAAAATAACCTATTTAGTTATTTAGCAACAATAAAAATTATTTTTAAGCTCCTAAATGCGCATGCACAGAGTATACTCTGTGTGCGCATGGCTCGAATTGTAAGGCGCATGTGGAGGGGACATTTCAAATTTTGCAGCGAATCATCATTTATTAATATTTTTCGCCAATTAAAGCTATTTCATAATAAAAATCATCGTTGAGAGATATCATCGATTAATTAATATCGACTTACCACTGTAATTAACACCGATTTTCGAAGATAACTCGAAACGTTTTTATTACGCACTTAAGTCACATTTTTTTAGGTTATGTGAGTACAATGAACTTAGTCACCAAATTTCAAATTTTCGTATTAACGCTGTTTTTATTAAATTACGATAAAATTTAAAATTATGCATTTTAAATAAGTTGATTTTAATCAACATTTAAAAAATGTTATTTATTCTTTGAAAAATAATCGTTTGAACGTTATTACCACATTACCTACATTACCAACTTTTGAGTGTTGTGTTTTTGTCCCTAGATAGCGCATATTTTTGAATAACTTAATTTCCATTAATAAATTAAATAAAGAAGTATTTAAACGTACCTGCGTAATAAGCATCTCCTAAATGCGCATGGCTCGAATTGGGACCATGTGGAGGGGACATTTCAAATTCGGGGAACGCAACTTTCTAATTTATTAAAATTTTTCGCTAAATAGAACTAATTCATAATAAAAAAAAACATTATTAATCATTTTAAAACATCAATAATTAATGAATATCGACTTACCACGATAATTAATACCAATTTTCAACTCCAAACACTTATTCAGATTTTTGAGGTTACTATCACTACTATGAACTTAGTCACCATCGAAATTAAGGCTGTTTAATTAATTATGATAAAATGGGAAATCATCAAATTTAATTTATGAAACTTAAATAAGTCAGTTTAAAGTTGATTTTAATCAATATTTAAATTTGAAAAGTAATCGTTTAAACATTATTCCTATATTACTAACTTTTGGGTGTAATGTTTTTATCGCTAGATGGCGCATATTTAATAATTTATTTTTTAGTAATAAATTAATTCAAAAAAATGTTTTTGTAATGAATTAAGAGTAATAATAATTAAACGGATCTGCTTAATGAATGTGTAACACATTGACAAATCGTTAATGGGTTAATATGTCAAATATAGAAATAATAATTGATTTTTAGTGATTTAAAACTAAACAGGATAACTTAACATAAATATAACATAAATATTGATATTCACAATTTGAAAACGTTTCTTTAAAATATATTTATAGATTATTTAAAATACAAAAATAGTAAACAATTTCGAAAATATTGATGTCAAATCTTTTAATAATAATTTTAAATTTCTTCTTAGACGGTAACTCATCATATTTACAACAAGAACTTGTGCACTCTTAAAAATAGAAAATAAAGGAAGATATCTAACAAAAATCTATCGATTAAGATTTACAAATAGATTATTTATATATATATAATCGTAATAATTGAACATTTGTAAGGCACTTTTTCCTTTTTATTATCTCTTTGCAACTCCCCAAGTATTTAATTATTATCATTTTTAACAAATGGCACAACAAGGATAACATGTACTCATCACTCACCCTTATTAATAAATTTATAAAATCATAAAACACTTTCTTCGAAGCGAAAACGCATTTTTATCACAATTATTCAAGTATTTTCTCTTAATTATTTATTATTTTGTTACAAATGTGTTTTTTTTAATTAAAAATCTGCGTCCCAACCGGTTACATCGTCCAAAGGAGGTCTATCCGTATCTGGGGGGTAATTATCGAAGTTTGATGTGTCCGTAACATGATTAACCACCGGCATTATCGGTGGCATTAACGTTCTATTCACTAATCCTTCCCAATTAAATCCATCAAACCATCTACAAATTAAATTAAGTTAATTTAATGAATAAAGAGATTATATTAAAGATTTTAGGATATGACGCGCGGATTGACGTAAATTTTTAAGGTTATGTGATATCATTATTCCTACATTACCAACTTTTGTGTGTCATGTTTTTATCGCTAGATGGCGCATATTTTTTTATAATAAATTAAATATTTATGTTAATTAATTAATTAACGTCAAAACGCGCGGCATTTTAATTTTATTTCTGTATTATAATTACTTATGTTTTTGTATATCACTAATTCCTCCTTTTTGATACCCCAACCTCTCAGCGGGGTTATCCCGGCACAACTTCTTAATTAAAGCCATTGCATTTCTTGTAATCATCCTTGGGAAATCGATCGTATCAATTCCTCTCAAAATAATATTGTAAGTCTTCATAGGATCCGCTCCGGTGAATGGAGGGGTTCCCGTTAATAACTCAAACATTAAAACCCCCAAAGACCAATAATCCGCTGATATATCGTGTCCTTTATTTAAAATAACTTCCGGGGCGACGTATTCGGGGGTTCCACAAAACGTCCAGGTTTTTTTCCCGGTTTGTAACTTTTTCGCAAACCCAAAATCAACCAATTTAACATAACCATCGTTATCTAACAACAAATTCTCAGGTTTTAAATCTCTATAAATAATATTCCTCGAATGCAAATAATCGAAAGCTTCGACAACACAAGCGGTGTAAAATCGCGTCGTCGAGTCATCGAAATGACCACGATCCCTTAACACCGTCCATAATTCGCCACCCAAACAACTTTCCATTAACATATAAAGATATTTTCGATCTTTAAACGTTTTATAAAGTTTCACGATGAAATCGCAATTTGCATCTCCCATTATTTCCTTTTCGGACATTATGTGTTGTTGTTGCCGAGTCTCTACAATTTGTGCTTTTTTCATTTGCTTTAACGCGAACGATCTGTTCGGATAACCTTTAATTTGGACAAGTTCCACTCTTCCAAAACCACCAACACCCAGTGTTGTTAAAACTTGAAGATCCGCAAGTTGTACGTTATCAAATTCTTGATTTATTCTAAATTAAAAAAATTTTATTAAAAAAAATTAGGTTATGTTTGAGTAAATATCAATGAAGTTAGTCACAAATTCAAATTTAACTTACTTATTAATTCCAATGTAATAAGAATGTGTAATAAATAAGTATTAATTATAAATTTTGATTAAAAAAATTAAAATTTACCTTCTCCTTTGATCACTTTCGTCTTTGTATTTAGTCTTGATCTCGTCTAAGTTCGAAATGAGTTGATTGAATGTTTCACGATCGATTACGAGACAAGAAACTCCTTCTGGATCATCACAGATAATATTAGCCGTTCGCAAATCATCTCTAAAATGGTTGTTTAATTAATTAATTATTTATTTAATAATTAAAAAAATACCCTTGTAAAGCTTTCTCTCCGAAGAAATCTCCTTTTCCCAAGCTCCTAATAAATTGTTCTTCGTTCGTTTGAGGATTTTTAATCGTAACTTTAACCCTTCCCTTACTAATAATGAAGAAGGTGTCACCTCGCGCTCCTTGCCTCACGATATAATTGCCGTTGTCGTAATTTGCGGTTTCTAACACGTCGGATATTTTTATTAAGGTATCTTCCGGGAGATCTTTGAATATCGGAACGCTTTTTAGGAAATCTGTATATTCCGCTTGCCGGATTAATCCGGTTCTCATCATAATCGTTTGGAAACATTGTCGTTCGATTGCCCATAACTTACAATCAGTTGCTGCTTTTATCGTCGCTGTTCGTTTGCAATTGTAAAGTATTGCCAATTCTCCTAGTACCTTAACCGGTGCTAATGTACTCAAGTACTTGTTTTCTCTTGATACTTCGACTCGACCCTCTAAAAATAAGAAATATATAAGAAGTTAAATGTAGAAAAACATAACCTCAATTTGTTGTGTTGACGTTTAAATTTTAAGTTGGCAATACATTTTAAAAATAAGAAATGAATTTATTATAATAACTTTCTAAACTAAAAGTTAAACGATAAATTTACGTTTATTTATTTAAATGAAAAATACACCCCGAGAAATCGAACGAAAGTAAAAGTAAATTTGTACATCTGCCGGGTGAGTTGTTCGTGAGAGTTTCGCCAACACATAGAAAGTTTACCACGACATATTCGTGAGGGTCAATCATCGTCGCGTGTATTGATGAGGTAAAGTTTCACTTTACGCGAGGAAAATTATAAAATAATCGTTAAATAAATAAACTTGGGTCGAAAATTAATGCGTCAAGTTGACAAGTGTGAAGTTGGATATAATTTATTTATAAAATTTACCTTATTTCGCTTTAATCAATCAATAATATTAAATAACAATCAATTTTTTTAGATTATTTATTTATAAATTTGCTTTTATGAATCAATTCGATTTTAATACCAACTACATAAATTTTTTATTTTATAAATGTCAAAACTGTCAAATTTGAAATGATCGATTTAATTGTAGATCCTCAAATAAGAATTTGGGTTTTTCTTCCAATAATAGTAATAACATTTCTTTTGGGTTACATAAAACATTACGTAACTTATTTAATAATATCCCATAAAGAGATAACCTTAGAAGATTTATCCGATTCGGAAATTTTGCGTCGGAGCGAAATCCTACGAGAAAACGGCGAATACATCCCGCGTTCAGGATTTTTAACGCGAAAATATCATTTCACCAACGATAAAACCGGCTGGTTAACTCGTAATAAAAGGCCGATAACCACCGAGAACATTTTCAGCGATCCGAATAAGATGACGGATATGATGAAGAACAATATCGTTAATGTTTTGCCGATGATTGCGATTGGGGGATGGTTAGTTTGGATGTTTTCGGGATTTTTAATCGCGAAAGTCCCGTTTCCTTTAACAATACGATTCAAATCGATGCTTCAAAGCGATATTGAGCTAAACGATTTAGATCCATCGTGGGTTTCGTCGATATCATGGTATTTCTTAAACGTTTGCGGTTTAAAAAGTTTTTACGAGTTTATTTTGGGGCCAAATCAAGGGATTGACGAAATCGCCGGCGTCGATGAAGAAATACACATTCGAGCCGTCAATTTAAACTGTTCAGATTTACACAATCTCTTCAAAAGCGAATTTGAATGTTTGGTGATTATGGAACACAATTGGATAATGAACGACGTTTTTAAAAATTAAAATTTTAACCTTTCTCGAGATTTTTTCTTCACCTTAGTAACCCCACTTTGTGTCTGGGTCCAGGTCATCGACTTCAACGATCCAGCTGGTGAATAGCATAGCATAGCATAGCACGCAAGACCAAGTTTGTACCAAGCAATTTAAACGAAAAAAAAAGATACTGTGAATGTCAAAGTTCAAAGCGAACCCCAAACTCACGATTCTAACCATAAAAAATTCGTTTTTAACCAAATTGAGGTTAAATCTATTTATAAAATAAGAATTTAGACGTTGTAATAGATTATGTAGAGACATTCTGACCTCAATCTTATGTAAAAGCATTTTGAAAGGAGCTATACCGTGTACTTAAACGAAGGGGACCACTTTTATGTTCAAACTAGGAAGTTGTATTGCAATTAAATAAATTTACCTCTTTCAAAATCATCACAATCTTCTTTGTCGTATTCGTCATCACTAATTACACTTTGTTTATGGATATTACCCGTTCTACGTTTTCGAATAGCGTAAGAATGAACAGGCACGATTAGTTTAGGTCTCGGTATCACAAAGTTATCACTATTATCTGTATAATTTTGTTTCGTCGAGTCTTTAAACGGACTCGTTCTACCATCTTTATAAATATCGAATGAATCTACCGATGCGGTGTCGGTTTCTGATAATTCCGAAGAACTCGGATATATTTTTCTTGGTGGAATACGTTGTCGAATTTTTTTCGGGGCCTCGTAATAACCACTATCGTTTCGGTTTAAAGTAACCGTATTAATTTGGGATTTATCATTTTGCTCGATTGAGTCGGAAGATGATGACATTAAAATTTGATTTTGGTCCTCGATCCAATTGGTTAAACGAGATGTTTTTTGATTATCACTATTTAATTTATCTTCCGATTGATTTTTATCATGGAAACGAACGGATTTTTTTAAATTTCTTTCTAAATCGCTTGATGTATCAATTTCTTCCTTTTTTTCTTGTTGCAAAAGCAATTTTTTTCTCGGCTTCGGTAAAGGTTTATTAACTTCCGCGTACATTTCATTTTGAGTATTTACATCTTCCTTCACCGTACTATTAAAATCTTCCTTACTTTTTGAATTAATTCGTGATAAGCATCGATCGCTGTGGTATTTTAATCGAACGCTTCCCCCCGACGAACTTTTATTATCAATCGATTCGTTATCTTTCGAAATATCATCGAGAATCGTTTGATATTGACTTAATTTAGTTATTCCGCGGATACTTCCGAAACCGTTGGAAACTTTTAAATTTTTTTGAGCATCTAACCAATTCGCCTCGTAAATTCTTCCTCTTGCACTGTTTGGAATATCGATTTCCAACCAAGCGGGATCATCTATAACCGCTTTTCCCGGATAATGTTTTATTCTCATTTTAATTCATTTTACTAAAAACATTGTTAAATCTTTTAAATAAAGAAAATTAGGAAAAATTCAAGAATCACCATGTGGCTTAAAAATTGACGATTTTTTTTTAATCGATTTGAAATGACCCAAAAATACGTTAAAAATAAAAAGAAAGTGCGGAAAAGTGTAGAATATACCGAAAAATCACTTTAAAGTTTCGATGTGAAGTCACAAGCAATGTTAACCATGCATTTTTCTATTAAACCTAACCTACAAAGTGTTTATTTTATAACCACGCATAAAATCAATCTGATAATCTTAAAAGTAAAGTCATTTTCACTAAACTAGGTGAAATATAACATGTACAACGTATATTTTCGGATGAAATGTCCTTGTTTTTCTTAGGCTTTCGATGCATAACGACTCACTACCTGTATGTCTTGTGTTAGTTCTAGTGATAGTGTTAGTTCTAGTTTTATTTGTTATTCACCGCTAGATTGTTGTATATTTGTATTGAATCAAAACTAGAGCTAACACTAGACCTAGAACTAGAAAGTATATAATGACATCAAAAAATCGATTTTAGGTTATAACCTCAAAACTCCCGATGACATGTAAACAATACGAACTTCACTTTAAATCAGATGACGCTTAAAACAGCGTGAAGTGAGTTTTGTTCTTTAGTTGTCAAATAGGAAAAATAAAACCGAATTCGAATTGAATAGAGTTTTCTTTAATTTTATAAAATTAACCAAATACACTCGGAGTTTAACATATTTATTACCTATGTAAGTAGAAATTGATTTTAAATTTATTTAGAAAAAATAATTACGTCAAAAAATCGATTTTAGGTTATAACCTCAAAACTCCCGATGACATATAAACAACGTGAACTTTGCGTTAAATTAGATGACGCTTGAAACAGTGTGAAGTACGTTATGACTTTTACTTGTCAAATCGGAAAAATCAAATCGAATTTTAACTGAATAGTTTTCTTTAATTTTATAGACTTCAGACTAAGAAACAACCGTATTTCACCCGAAAATATGCGTTTTAAACAAATGTGCTGCGAAAATATATGGTCGATAACTGGTGATCTTTCGGTAAGTTTTACACTTTTCCCCATTTTTTTTTATTTGTAACGGCACTTGAGTGATTTTCAGCCGATTAAAAAAAAATTGTCGATTTTTAAACCACAAGATGATTTTTAAATTTTTGCAAAAAAAATCATTAATTTATGATGATTCTGTTTGTTCATGTAAATTTTAGTTCTAAAAATTTTAAGTTGGTAATATTGAAATATGACAACTAACCTAAAACGTGATAAATAAATAATATTTATGTTTTATTTGATACGCACGTGTTTAATCATGTTTAGAAATGAATTCACGTGTATTTAATGGTTTAATCAGGTTTGTTTTTTTACCACATTATCAAAGAGAACATTTTTTTTCTTTTCAAGGAAAAACCAACGTTTTAGAAAGTTACAAAATGAGCGTGTGTGGGAGTTACATTGTAAGAAGTTAAAGATGACTCATATTCTTCTTTTTTAGATAAAGAAATCCATTATAATAATATTCGATCTATTTTTAAATGATTCGAGTGTGTTTCTATTGAGTTATGTTAAATAGCTTTCTCTTTAACTCTTGTGGAAGTTTTATTGACCTCGTTTTCTCGTTTAGGATTGGAGGCATTGTTGTAAATAATTCGATTTGGATCTAAAAAATTGATATATTTAATTCGATTGATCGCCTCGTATTCAGTTATTTGCCGTTTCTAACTGCTTCAACGGGCCTTATACTGAATACGAAAAAAAGAAACGTTAACATTACTGTGGATTACGGTACAATTACATTAAAATTCTTTTTACGTCGTTGAACACGAATTTTTTTTTTAAATTATCGACTAACATAAGAGATTTATCTGGTTAAAAGAAATCTAAACTTTTTCTTTATCTGTGTCGTAGAAAACTTGCACTGCATTTGAACGGATGTTAACTTTCTAAAGAGATGTTGTGACTCGGATGCATTAATATTAAAAAAAATAAAGTAAAAAGGAATCGGTGAAAGTGTAAAGACGAATATGTTGTAATCGATTTTGAAACATTCAAATCGTTTACTTTCAGGGTGAGATTTTTATGGAGCGTGAGATTACTTTGAAGGTTGAGGCAATGAAAATAAATGTTTTAAACAGACATTAAAAAGCTTTTGAAAGTCATCAATTTAAGGAAATATGAAAACTTTGTAATCTAAATTAATGATTACTCACCAATTAGAATATTTCAAGGTTTCATTTTATTTCTAGAAGTGTTAATACTAATATGTTTAAGAATTTTAACATAATCGTCAATTTAAACGATGATTTGAACCTCAATAGTGTTGTACGTAACGAATATAAAGTTCATAGATAATGTGAAACATTTCATGACGTACTTATCAGATTATCGGAGTGTTATATTAATGAAATTTGTTAATTAATTCTAATCGTAAGTTTTTATTTAAAAAAAAAATTGGCTAAAAACTCAAATAATATTACGTTATACTCATAACCAACAACTTTCACCTTTTCGATTCGATACACTTAAAAAAAATCAACCCGGAAACTTAAATCATAAAAAAATAGATCGAAAAATATAATAAAATAGACAGAATCATTATAAATTAATTTGAACCACTTCATTTTAATCTATCACTCACTTTTCCGCATTAAAATAAAATGTAATAAATTTTGAAAACAAATTTAAAACAAAAAAATCCAAAACAAAAATTTAAAACAAAAAGAAACCTTCGCGATTTAAGACAACAAAGGAACTACGCCGGGTAACAAAACCCGATCGCACGCCAAACAAAAGAGCGTCGTCCCGCGCGCACGTGGCGCCTCGACCGGATCGACGCGACCAACTGAGTCCGGTTTCTGTGCTGACTCCGCGGGTCCCCCGGCGGTTTGTGTTTTCGTTGTTGTATGGTAAAGAGATCGCAACGCTGTGCCAGACTTTCAAAGAGAAAAAGAAGAGGTTTTTTTATGGAGTTGAGAGTAAAAATGTTTCTTTTGAAGCCTCTGTATATGGATTTTTAATAAATTTTGTTTTAGACTAAAGTTTGCTCAACAATACTTTGTTGGATGACAGTTTGAAGTTCTTTGACAGCTGTCAAAATAAAAAATTGCAGTTAATGTATTAGTAAAAGAAAAAAATTGAGATAGATTTTGCTCTGATCAAAAAGTACCAGAGAACCAACTTTTTCATTCGCCAGAAAATATTTAAGAAGAGAACCAAAAAATACTTACCAAAGAATTAGGTTAATTTCGATCAAAACTTTAATGATTAAGTTAAGGGGAAAAATCTCTTTGTCGAATCTAAAATCACTTTAAACAAGTAACTTGCAGCAATAAGAACGTATTTTGAGGGTTATTTCGGCTCAATTTAACTTATTTTTTCTTAAAATTTGATAATTTTTGGGAAAAAATACAACTGTCAAAAATACGATTTAATATGAGTGATTACCACTAGATGGGGTGAGTAATTGTTTAAAAATAGAATTTAATAAAAAAATTAAAATAAATCGACTTACTGTGACTTTGTTGTAATAAATCACCCTGATTTTCAAAAATATTAAAAATGTATACTTGATGTGATAAAGAATTAGGTTATTTTCGATTTCATGAATTAATTTAAGGGGGAAAATCTCTTCGTGGAGTCTAAAATCACTTTAATTAAGTAACTTGCAACGTCAAAAACGTATTTTGAGGGTTAATTTGATTCAATTTGACTTATTTTTTCGTTAAAATTTGATAATTTTTTGGATGAAATACAACTGTCAAAAATACGATTATTATTGGTCATTACCAACAGATGGGGTGAGTAGTTGTTTAAAAATAGAATGTAATAAAAATTAATAAAATAAATCGACTTACGGTGAGTTTGTTGTAATAAATCACCCTGATTTTAAAGAATTATTAACTTATTTCCCCGTAAAATTTAAAAATAACTTAACCGGTATTTATAAACTGTCAAAAATAGTTTTAATATGGGCCATTACCGCTAGATGGGGTGAAAAAAGGGAGGAAATTTCTTCGTGGGACATAAAATTATTTATAATTATTTTTATGCTTCGTTTTGATTTAATTATAATTTTTTTTCAGTTTTAACTATATTAGGAAGAAATATAACCTAATTGGTGATGAAATGTCAAAAAAATTAGGATAAAATTAAGTTAAATTGGCGGCTGCTAGATGGGGTTAATTTTTGTGTAAAAAGATTATAAATTAATTAATTAGATATTTGTTTTTTAAACCGATTTAAACAATAACACCCATTAATTTTATTAAACAATTATTAATCAATAAAAAAAGCAATTCATATCCGTTATCAACTAATACTTCGTAAAATAAACATTTTTTTTAAAATTTGAATTAAAAAAATAAATTTAACGCTTATTATCATTCTCAATTCTCAACGTGGCAGAGATTTATCCTTGTAAATTCGGCCACGCCTACGAAACGAAAGGCGCTTTACTTAGGTTCGGATTTCTAAGAACTGACACAGAACGCAAACGGCCAAGGGGGCAACTTTCACTTCGGGGCCCCGTATCGTAGAACGTCATCGTTGCAAAAAAGCGTAAAGTAGCAAACAGTTTAACAGGAAAAAAGAAAAAACCTGACGTAGCCGCCGTCTACGGGGCAATTATAAATAGGATTATGTAGGCGACTTGCTAAAAGGTCACTCCACTCATTGGCATATACACGATGTTGAGAGTTAAGAGAGTTTTGCGAGGACGTTGGTTTTATTAAAGGCAAAAAATGAACGAGATAAGGAGAAGGAGAAATCCGTAAATGTTAATTTAAAGGTGATTTTGTGAGAAAAGATTTGAATGAATTGATGTTAAGAACGTGGGAAATAGGATTAAATGTGATGAGCAAAAAAAAATATTTTAAAAAGAAAAATAAATTAAATTGCATAAATTGTAAATAATGTCAGGTTTAAATCATACCAATTTCCACATAGCTTGAAATCGAAAACTGTAATTTAAATTGAATTCTTTCGTAATCAGATTTCTACCTTTTAGTCATTCGTAATTTCGAATAATTGAATTGGAGGAAAAACCAATGTGAAAATCGTTATGACGAAATCGTTAAAAATTTAAGTACAAATATTACTAATAAATAAGTTATTATAAAGAAGATAGGTCACGGTTGAAGAATTTTTCATAATAAAAATAACAAAATTATTTCAAATATTTTAAAATATTGTTAAATGACGTTAATTTTTAGCGGGTTATGCAACCCAATTAACTTGCGTCTCAATATAACCTTGAAAATTATTTTATGGTTAATAATTAATAAATTTATGCAACATTTTCTGTTTGGTTGTGAATTTTACTACGTTTTAATGATGTAATTAACGTAAAAGATCTTTTTGATACTAAAAATAATCTTTTTCTTACAAATTTAGGAAGTACTAAAAACATAACCTAATGGAAACAAATTGGAGGTTAAAATCATTATTAAAGGATTAAATGATTCTTAACGCGAAGAGGAACTTGACGTTTACTTTTTATTTAGTTTAATCATTATCCCACATGTATTTAACCCAAGATCATCAAATAAGTGTATGTTAATAATGATTATTTTCTGATTTAGTTATGCAACCCAATTAACATAAATATGTATTAGTAACCATGGTAACAATTTTAATGTTAATCGAAATTTTCTTTGAAAAATTGAGAAAAATTTGAAGATTTTCATCAAAAAATAAGCCTCATTAACGATAAACAAAATTTTATCACCAATTAATTCACCTGAATTCAAACAAGTCATCTATCAACAAGTCAAGCATCTTTGGAAAGATAATTTTTAATGAATTCCACTAAATTTTAATCGTTTCTGGTTAAATTGTTTTTTTAATTAAATCTAATCCTTTCGTTGCTTAAGAGGATGTATATGTGAAGAGCCAAAGAAGAAATAAAGTAAAAAAATTAATTAAAAGGACAAACGTCGTGAAGTGAGGTTATCTTGGCTTTAAATCTTATTCGGTGAGTTTTACTATGTTTTAACATTAAAACTAATGTTTATTAACTTTAAAGTGAATCTTTTTGTTCAAAATTTAAGAATCCAAGTTATAGTAATGAAATTAAAAGTAAAAAAGGACCATAAACCTAACCTAAGAATGAAGATTTTTTTGAAATTCTTAATAAAACTATGCTGATAGGGAATATGAAACTGAAGAAGTTGTTCTTTGCGAGAGATGAAAATAAATGGTGAGTTATTTCATTAATAATTAGAAGACAATTATAAAAATTTTACCTAACAATAAATTAAAAATAAAACATAAGTGGCGCCATCTCTTGGTGCCTTCTCGATTTATTTTAGAAAATTAAATAATTTTTAATTTTTTAAATAATTTTGAAAGTTTCACCTAAACTGTCTTGTTAATAGTTAATTGTTGGTATCCTAATATCTTCCTTAACGTTTGGGAATAAAATCAATTAGAATAACAAAAAATTATTTTAATTTTAGTTATGCAACCTAATTAACTCAAACAATCTAAATATTAATAAAATAGGCAACCCAATTAACAAATTTAATAAAAAAATAATCCTTTTTAACTTAACTTTGAATATCTTGTATGATTATCATATAACAACTAAGATTACTCGTTAAAAGATGGCATCACTTACCTTCAAGAACATAAACGATGCTGCCCACGTCTCCTTCCTTTATAATCAAACTATTCGCCTCGTAATTAATGGGATGCATACAATCGACTATTTCTCGAATTTGCGTCGATTCCAAGTTTTTCATAAAGTCATTTTCCAAAATCGCCGATTTAATTAACTCCCGTGTCCTTAAAAAGAAACGAATTATTAAAAAAATAAAAAAACAAACACGGTTTATGTTCCTCAACAATATCAATTTACTTTTAGATTTAGAATTGCAGATCTTTCGTGTTACATAACGAGATTATTGCTAAATAGAAACGATTAAAGACAAGACAACGTTTTTTTTATAAGGGGAATGTGTATAAACGTCGAATTATTTCTGTTTTATGCGAACGATATCGAAACGTATTCGCGTTTTTTTGTGATCGATGTGACTCGAATCATTTTCTAACTCGTTTAAAGGTCTTAATCGACTTCTAAACGCGGTGAATTATTTCAAGGACGCTTTCAACAAATTCATTCAGTCATTCAATGCACATGAATAAAAACACACCTGACTTTATAAATTTTATTTAATAATTAAAATTCTTCTTTTGTAAATAATGCTGGAAGAAGAATTTTAATGAATAATTATTAAGATTATTATCACGTATTTTTATCTTTCCGTTTGGTTATTTTTAACTTACTTGCTGTCTTTAGGTATCTTTAAAATTTTTAATTCTTCTTCTTGAATCGGTTCGGCGCTAATGGCTTGTCTTTTAACCCTCGGCTCGGCTGGTTGAGAACCGTTTTCCATCATAAATGATAGTTGTTTTGTGATGATTTTTTGCGTTAGGGGGCTAACAACTTGCCGAAATTTGTCGATTTCGTTTTTTAAGTATTTAATCTCATTTTCTCGGTCCTCAACGGCGCTCATAAGCATCGCAATTTTTCGCTCTTTCATCACCAAGTCGTCGTGTTGCTCTTGGAGGCGCTTTTTTAAGAAAACAACATCCTCGTCTTCTTCCATTTCGAGCTTTTTCGGTAAATACTTCGATACGAAATTGTAGCAACTCATCTAATACACACCTTTATCTCTGTTTGTTTAATAATATGTTTTATTTCAGTTTCTAATATGTCGAAAAGTAACTATTGCATGTCGAAGAGAAATTTAAAAAAGTAATTCAGTTTATAAATGCGCTAATTAGTCCCAATTAAGCGCGTACAAATTAATAATGCGTTTACATTTTCGATTCGATTCGACGCTCATAAAGTTAAGTTTTTAAAGCGACACGTAAGTTTTGGCCCCAATTACATTGTATATACAAATGTACAAAAAATATTATATTTTAATTTAAAGATTAATTAAATTATTGTGATGTTTTTAAACCAAAAGAACCTTCAAGATTTGAGTCAAATCTATTTTTGTAACCCGGATTGCGTAAACATATAATTGGAAATTGCGAAAAATTGCTTTGTTGCATTTATTCGAATAAAACAAAACGTGATTTGAGATTAGATTAGATTTGGGGGGGAATTAGAAAATGATTTTGTACGATTTGAGAATGTTAATATAGTTAAACCTCGATACGGACGAAATATTTTTAATTAAGGGAATAATTCGGGGAAATGTTTGTATTAGTCTTGTTACAAAAGATATTTTACATATTCTAGAAACAAAAAATTTTAGAAAATGACAATTTCAAATTTAGAGCAGTTCTGTAATTTTTTTTGCTTCTGCCAAATTTAAATTGTGTGTACTCATCGTGTTCCGTAGGTTATTTTGAACATCTTAAGAACAAAAAATATATAACAAAATTGCACCGACTAATAATTAAAACTAGAACTAACACTAGACCTAGAACTAGAAAGTTTCAGGTTTAGCCGTCCGAATGTTGCTAGTTCTAGGTCTAGTGTTAGTTCTAGTTTTACACTAGCACTGTTACTACATAGAACTAACACTATACCTAGAACTAGAATCATTTGGGTTTAGCCGTCTTTAGAGACGTGCGGCTAAACCCAAATGATTCTAGTTCTAGGTATAGTGTTAGTTCTAGTTTTAATTATTATTCGGTGCAATTTTGTTATATATTTTTTGTTCTTAAGATGTTATTGGTGTAGTGTTAGTTCTAGTTTTACACTTGCACTGTCACTAGAACTAACACTAGAACTAGAAACATTTGGGTTTAGCCGCACGTCTCTAAAGACAAGAAAGTTGTTATTTATCGTTAGATATTTTTCATTACACTAAAACTATTTTTGGACTTTTAGTTATAACAGAAACTCCATACCCAATATTAATCCGTTACAAAATGTTAAAAATAAATCTAAATTAATAAAAAAAATATATATTATATTGTGTAACTTTTTTTTTTAGAACAACCATAAATCTTTTTTTAACGTGCAATTATCTCATAGAAAAATATAGAGAACACGATTTAACTTTGAGTTAATAAATCAAGGTTTTGCGAAATAACGTTTTTTACGAAATCAACGACGACTCTTTGATCTCAACGACGAGAAATTGGCCCGGAGTCAATTAAAATTTGACCATGTCACAGAGTCGAGTTGAATTGTTAAATTGAAGTGGCTAGGAAACTTTCTCTTTGAAATCAGTTCGCAAATCAATTCCACAATGGAAAAACCAGTAGGTGCTAATTTAAATTTTACAACAAAAATCACGTGGGATTAGTTTTTGTTTTTGTTACTTTTCGATTTCGATTCGATTTAAAATCGCAGAAATAAAATTAGATTCAAAGTTTGTTTTGGAGCTTCGAGTTTGCTTTTTATGTAAATATTGATTTGATCTAAATCGAACGATTTGTTTTGATTTGTCCGTATAAATTTTATTATAATAACAAATTAATTTTTAATAAATTTCAACGAAATAAATAATTTAATCTCAATATTTCTTTTCGCAACTGTCAAGAAATTCGATCCGTCAAATTTTTAATTTTTTTATGTTTCCCAACCTTACTCTCAAACTTAATAGTAATAGATACGTCAAAAAAATTTTTGTGGTTATGTTAAGTGTCATCTCATAATAAGTTCTAAATTAAGAAAATCTTTTGATGTCTAAATATGACGAGAAAAAAATTGAATTTATAATAAAAAATTTAAAGATCCTCTTTTCGCCTAGGAAAAGAAAGATAAAATAAACAGCTCCGAAAATAGCTGTTTGTATAAACCGAATTTGACCTGAAAGTTCACGAGATGTGCATTAACATAAAGAGACCGTGAGCACGGAGAATCGGATCATAAAAAACTTGGAATTGGAAAAGCGTCGACTTGTAATTGACGTTTGATCGACTTTTTTTAACGACAATTTATTGGCGTGTCACGCGTCGTCGACCAAAACCCAATAATAATATTGCCAACGTTCGATTTCAATTCGATTCGTAACAATTTCAGCTTTTCATTATTTTTTTTGACTCCATAATCAAATCGAATCGTTTCGTAACGATAACAAGCAAATTTCTCATTTATATTCGACATGCAATTGTAATTATTTCCATAAATTCCTTATTTTTAACTTACACACACACACACACACAATTATTATTGTTATTATTAGTGATTTAACACAACACTAATTTTTTTTTTTTTTTGGTAAGATTGATGAGTCAGTTATAATCACTCAAAGTATTTGTGGTTTTAAATAGTCGCGACCAATCCAACACAACACGAACTGTTCAAGTTATCTTAAGCGATACACGCGCCACACTGACTTATCCACAACACAACACCAACATTTATATAAAGCCATGTGGACGACGACGACTTTAAAAACAGAGTCGAAAAGGCGATGGATTTAACACTGTCTTAACTTCGCGATAACGAAACACTATTACTACTTTTAAAACACACTATCGAACTTAACGCAATTAATTATGCAATGATTTAATAACGTTATCGTCGCGCTATTTCCGGGATAGATAAAAAACGATTTTCCTTTATATTCGTACTAAATACATAACAAATTAACGTTTATTTTAAAAAAAAATGAAAAAAAAATAATTTATTTAAAATCAAAATTAAAGAGACATCTATTATTTAAAAGCAACACTAATAATATTGCGGTTGCCATGGTTATGTTTCCGACATTGCACTACACTTTTTCAAGAAGGCCCATTAGCTCAGTTGGTTAGAGCGTCGTGCTAATAACGCGAAGGTCGCGGGTTCGATCCCCCCATGGGCCAAATTTTTTTTTTACAACAAATTAACCATTTTTATTTCAATCTAATTATTATCATAATTTAATTATAACAAAATAAATTTGACATAAATGTTATTTTTATATTTTATTTTATTACATTCACGTGTGTAATTTATAACTATTTCCGACTCAAGGTTCGTTTGTTGTAACCTCCAAAAAAATAGTTATTAATAAATTCATTAAAAATAAAATATTATTTTTTTATTTCTACACAAAAATAACCACGCCTCGTTAACCTACATTTTCGCGATAACCGCATTTACAACGAAGAGCGTTTAGGAGTGTTCGACAAAATGCCAAGAATCCCATTGTTTCAGCCTTTTTCTCCGTTCAAGGTTCCGAAACAATAATTATTAACAAAAAAAAAGCGTTATTATGTCAATAGTGCCCGAAACCAATGAGATATAATCAACGTGGATCGCCCGAAATTTCTTTTTTTATGAAGATCACGCAACGTGTCGCTTTAAGCGATTGTCACGATGACAACCGCTGTGGTGGGTCATATTTTTAAACATGCTCTCTTTATAATTACTGTAAATTGACGGGAAGGATAAATTTCACTTTCGATGATTAATTATTGTAAATTTAAATGATGATTAACTGATTTGGCCTACACTCAACTTTCTCGCAATATATTCAGATAACCATAATTAATTATTATTGAAGAAATGGCATCTAAAATATTCCTTATGTATAGGAAGAGACCTTTAATTTAAGTCCAAACTCGACCGTATTTAGGTAAGACCATCAATAAATGTCATTATTGACAGGCGCCATCTTGAATTGTTTTAGAAATCGTCATAGCCTAATCGAGTGACATGTCAAATTAAAAGATTTTTAATAAATATTAAGAAAATGTACGAATAACATAACCTAAATCAATCGCAATTTATGAAGCGACATCTATAATTAACAAATAATAAAAAAAATAGACTTTTATTCACGTTGTATAGAAAAAAATCTTTAATTTGAGCCCAAACTCGATATATTTATCTCAAACACACGCGAAACGATCGATAAATGTTACTATTGATAGACGCCATCTTGAATTTTGTTTAAATCATCATGTCCTAATAGAGTGACATGTCAAATTAAAAAAATACTTCTATATTCATGTGGTATAGAAAAAGATCTTTAATTTGAGTCCAAACTCGACGTATTTGCCTCAAAATCACCAAAAACGATCGATAAATGTCATTATTGATGGACGCCATCTTGAAGTTTTTTTAAAATCATCATAAGTTTATCGAGTGACGTATCAAATTAAAGGATTTTTAATAAGCATCAAGAAAATATCTATTGTTTCGTTAAAAAGTATGTGACACAACCTAAATCAATTATTTTTAAGAAGCGACATCCATAATTAAAAAAATACTTCTATATTCATGTTTTATAAGAAGAGATCTTTAATTTGAGCCCAAACTCGACGTATTTACCTCAAAAACTCGCTGAACGATCAATAAATGTCATTATTGATGAACGCCATCTTGATTTCTTTTAAAAATCATCATAACCTTATCGAGTGACACATCAAATTAAAAGGTTTTTAATAAGAATTAAGAAAATGTTTGTTGTTACTTTAACAAGTACGAATAACATAACCTAAATTAATCATTTTATGAAGCGACATCTATAATTAACAAATAATAAAACAAAATAGACTTTTATTCATATAGTATAGAAAGAGATCTTTAATTTGAGTCCAAACTCGACGTATTTACCTCAAAATCTCCAAAAACGATCGATAAATGTCATTATTGATGGACGCCATATTGAATTTTTATTAAATCATCATAAGTTTATCGAGTGACGTATCAAATTAAAGGATTTTTAATAAGCATCAAGAAAATATCGATAGTTTCGTTAAAAAATGTATGTTACACAACCTAAATCAATTATTTTTAAGAAGCGACATCCATAATTAAAAAAATACTTCTATATTCATGTTTTATAAGAAGAGATCTTTAATTTGAGCCCAAACTCGACGTATTTACCTCGAAAACTCGCTGAACGATCAATAAATGTCATTATTGATGAACGCCATCTTGAATTCTTTTAAAAATTATCATAACCTTATCGAGTGACACATCAAATTAAAAGGTTTTTAATAAGAATTAAGAAAAAGTCTTTTCTTGTACTAAAATGTGTATATAACATAACCTAAATCAATTATTTTTAAAAAGCGACATCTATAATTAAAAAAATAGGCTTATATTCACGTTATATAGAAAGAGGTGTATAATTCGAGCCCAAACTCGACGTATTTACCTCAAAACACGCGAAACGACTGATAACTGTCATTATTGACAGCGGCCATTTTGAATTTTTTGAAAAGTCATCAGATCCTAATCGAATGACATATCAAATTAAATGTTTTTTTATATATATTAAGAAAATAATCGATATTTATCATTTATTTATTTACTTTTTAATGAAAATAAATATATGTAATATGAAATTTTAGAGTAGTAGTAGTAGTAGTAAAAATCGAATTTGGCTTGAAGCGCTAATTTCATCGAAGGTGATAATTTGTTTTGCAAGATAATTTTCGGCAAGGTTTCTTTGATCTCGAGGCGCGCGTATACAACTCAATGATACAAAAAAGTCATTAAGAACATTAGCCTAAAGGTAAATTCAGACGAAATTGGGAAACCGATTTAAGAGAAACCTTTTATTTAAGTTTTGTAAATAAAAAAAAAATCTCAACGCGTTTAAAAATAATCAAAATTATAACTGTCACTTTTTAATTAAAACGTCAATTTTGACAAGACGAATAAAAACTTAAAAAAAAAAAGAAGAAGTGGTGCCATCTATTATTAAAATTTAAAAAAAAATAATTAAAAATGTCATTTTAGAGCGCCATCTTTTATCAATAACTAAAAATTTTCGTTAAAAATTATTTTAAACTTTCAAAATGAATCTTAGAAATGCCATAAATCTAAAATGTCGTTCCAGGTAAAAACGTTTTATCTACAAGCGACATAATTCATTAGTATCTAGGAAAAATATGCGACGTTATCTAACGAAAAAAAAATGTGGTTTCAAACCGACTTTATGCTCGCATTTGTAATGCAAACATAGATTATTGCTAATCTATTATGTACAGATATCTGCGGTGGGTTAAAATTGATACGTACAAATCCGAATATATCAAGTTTTATTTTCGGTTTTAATGTTGTTGGATTCGAAACGTGTTAAAATTTAAAACCCGAGACATAAATAATTGTCATTGTAAAATTATAGCTTCGTTATCGCGTTCGATTCTATTTTTAGAACTGCACGTTATTTGCAGTGTCAGTGAGAAACGAATAAAAAATTTGTTAAATTTATGATATAACTTCAGGTTTCATGTATTTAGATGATTATCTATTAAGTTTTGATAACAAATTGATTGTTGCGTTTAAAAGGATTTAAAAATGATCACAAATGGATTTAAATCTCGAGATAATACAATAAAATCACTTACCCATCATCCTTATCGTAAACAGGAAACGTTTGCTTCGTTAAATCTTGAATGCTACTCGCAGTTTGTGGCTCAGCTGAAATTCCAGCCCTTTGTTTTCTCGGTCGATCCCTCACATTATTATTTAGACCAAAATACCGTTGTTGATTCGAATGAAAATGTAACGGGAAAACACTTTGGAACTTGTCGATGTGCGATCGGAGCTCGACGATTTCCTCATCTTTAACTCGAAGGAGTTCCTCGAGCTCGCGAACTTTTTTGACCAGCTCCTGCTGATTCGGATCGAGCGCCATATCTCGGCCGGTTTCAGGCGCCGCATGGACATCAACCGCCGCGGGATTCGCGTCTAGGTGGTGTTGGATGCCATTAATATGACCACCGCCTGGGGGCACTTCTTCGTCGGAAGGACGCAGCCAGGACGAGAAGCAAAGGGAGTCTAAACAGACACGCATTCGAACGGTACCAGGACGACTCCTTCTGCGTGGTGGCGGGTGGACGTTATTTTTGGCGCGATTTTCGCTTTGATAGTCCCCGTGCCAAGATCGTCGTCGACACTTCGATGCCAAATCCTCGGATGTGTTTCGAATATTATTTAAAACGTTAACGAGACGTTTACTTACGAACACAATCTAGTACTGAGTTGATTCGTCTCTAAGTTTGTCCACACTTAGGATAAGATAGATTGTTATTGCAAACGATATTCTTGATTGATAAAGTTTAGATAGCGTCGACGCCACCACAAGTATCTAAAACGATATAAAAGAACTTATTAGTGTAATAAGACAAATTTAAATGTTACATACCGAAATTTTTTATTCATTTTTAACCAAAATTTATTATTTTTCATCAATTAAAAAACGTCAAAAATTAAACGTCAACCTCAAAACTGTCAAGTAGAGCCAACCTCAAAAAAAATAATTAATTTATTTTAATTTCTAAATTATATTATTAAAACTTAATTATGTATACAATATTGTTTGAAGTTATTAATTATATTTAATTGCATTAATTTAAAAAGATAAAAAGTGGTGATAAATTAAATCCATTCGGCATGTGTAGACAACTTAACTCATTACTGTAACATAACCTATACAAAACGACTTAATGATACGTTTAAGGTTTTTAAAAAAAAACTTTAAAAATAAAAAGAAACTCGTGGTGAATTCGTGTGGGTGTGTCAAAAACGTGAGCGAGCTTGCAAAAAAAGACGTCGTCGAAATGGAGGGCGATTGTTAAAGTTCAAGTCGAGTGCCGATACAATTAACGGTGAGGTAATTTGTGCTCCGAAGAACCTGTAAACGGCACACGTCGTGCCAAAAAATCGATCCGCCGATATTATTGACCAGTTTTCGGGGTATGCAACACTTTCACGGATCCCATTACGAGAGTTGATTTATTAAATCAAAGGAAATTGGTTGTGCGTTTGAATCCCGTGGTCCGAATTAGCTTAACTAGTTTAAACTGGTTAAAGTTATAACCACTTATAAAAATGTGTCAAGATAAGAATCTGTCAAATGTAAAGCTAACTTCATATTTATTTATTTTATTTTATAACCTCAAAATTAAAAAAAAATGTTTTCATTAAATATTTACATTATAAATTTGCAAAGTAAAGTTAAAACACCGTTTTGTTTATAGTTGGATTTAAAAACGGTCATGAGATTTCAATTTGAGTTACAATTAGTACTATTTAAAAAAAAACTTACGGTTTAAAATGATGGATTATGGGGTAATCTTATTTTTAAACTTACTTGTCAACTGATTCAAGATCGAAACTGTACTAAGACAAGGCCGAAACTTTTTCTGGTTATAGCCAACCACTACTTACTCTGCTTGAAATTTTGGGGCCCCCCCGAGAGTGCGTGTAATAAAGTAGCCAGCTGGCAATTATCTTTTCAATACTGAGGAAAACGATGTCCAAAAATAAACCCTTTTTTTTTTGTTTCCCGAAAATCGTGTCTACGAACGTTCGAAATTACGTTTGCTTCTCGGTTCATAAACGCGCAGCATGAGTTATGTTTTAAACAAAATTTTGGCATCGTTAAATTATAAACAAGGGGGAAAGATAGATTGAGTTTATTTCTTATTATCGTTGTTCCACCTTGACCTGCAATAAAATTTGCTCTTATTTTAGAGTAATTAACGGCGCCAATTAAGCGAGATTGATTTTTACAATACTCGAAAACACCTTGTAACGTTATAATAATCATTACTTAAAAAATGTCAAATATTAACAACTTTGTTTTTGTTGTTGATAAAAAAACCGGTTATTACATTTACTTAATTTAGTTATTTTCATCCATACATTTATAAACTTTTTAATTATTAACGTACTAAAAGGTTATGTGTCAAAAGTGACAAAATCAAACACCAACCTCAAAAAATAAAATAAATAAATAAGAAAAAATAGGAATTTTCATTAAAATTACTTATTAACTTGATTATTTATTTAAAAAAATATTTTGAATTATTAATTTAAAAAAATGTATTTATAGTTTATAATTAATTTTAGTTATTTTATTAAATTTTATTTATTTACAGTTGGCAACAAATTTAAGCAGCATCAAAAGTTAAACCGTTTAATATAATCAAAATAAATCAAGTTCATACGTTTAAGCTTAAAAAAACCTTCAAAAAAGCTAATTATTCATGTGAGTATTTTAAAAATTACAATATTACGTATATAAATTAATTAAACGTGAAATATTTTAGGATTCTTCGAATTCGCACGAGTTTGACAGTTATAGGTTATGTTTACATGTTTCGAAATATAAAAGAATTAATATCTCGGCAACTAATTGAGATATCGGCATGGGATAAAAACCGATTCAAAGTAAGTAAATTGCTTTTTCGATTTCAATTTATACTTTTAATTAAAATTTGTTAATAAAATCTTACCACATAAAATTCCATCAACCAAATAGAGTTAAAATCCTCGCGATTTGAAACAATTTATTTAAAAACAAGTTTTGAACACTTATTTTAAACGTTTTCTAATAATAAATCTTTCAACATACCGAAAACAACAACACTTAACAATAAACATAATAATAAACCAGTAACCGTATCAAATAGTAGTTTATTGCACTTAACTCGACGGGCACACATAACTTCATCGCGCAACTTGTCTTTTAAAGTTTGGCAACGTTGTACGGAGGTTCTTAGTGGTTCTTAGCCATTCTTAGGCGTTCTTAGTCGAAAGCACGTGCAACTCAGATTTAAATTTATTGTGAAATGAATGTAGTTTTTAAAGGGTTTTTAAACCCTATTTATGACGTTTTTTACATCGTGCCCGATTATAATTCGGCGATAACCGAGTTATTTATTTTTGTTAGGTAAAAAGAATTTGTGCAACGTTGCTTTCTCTACTTCTCCTGAGCACAACGTTCTTCCCACGTTGCCGCGTCTAACAGCACTAAACAGACGTGTGTATAACGGCAGTGTCTCGAGGCACCAGTTCATTTGGTAGTTTTAAACGTTTTGTCCCCCTCTACAAATAGTTTTATGCCTATTGAAAGATTTTGCTTCATTGTTAAAGAAAAAGATACATTTTTTATGGGGGGGATTTTCCTTTTCTATCAATTGAAACTAATTTAATTAGTTAATTTTTTACGTGCGTGAAAAACGACCAAGTTTATTTTAAAAAAATAGTGTTTTCCTGCTGTCGCCTGATGAAAAACCGGTTTTATCGTTCGAGGGGGCAAAGTCAAGGTTCGAAAACCGATCATCGAAGATCGACACTGATCGACGACGACGAAAATCCTTGTTTCTTGAATCGTTTAAACAATTTTAAAATCCCCGTTGATACGCGACAATCTAAAAAGAGAACGGTTTTTATTTAGTATATATTATTAGGTGACCATGAAACGATTCCACGCAATTATGCGAGATAAAAATAACCTCAACTCGGATCTATTTGAATTTTATATCATTTCGAGATGAATCCTTCGTTTTATCGATAAATTTTATTTAAATATTAAAGAAAATTGCTATTTTAGGTTATGTCATATTTGACTTTGACACTTAAATAAATGATTCATCAAAATGTCAATAGATGGAGTTTCGATTTAAATTATTATTTAAATTATTGTTAAATTAATTAATCAACGAAACTAGTCATTTATTAATAAAAATACATTATTTTCTTATTTTTTAAAATTAATCTGAAGTAAATTCTTCTAAAATCTCGTTAATTTCTTCTTTTCTCTTCTTTGTTCTTTTAACTTATTCCGAATGTAAATTCTTCGAACATTAGATTCGCTATTTATGCTAGAAAATGACGTGTTACCTCGATAACATCCATAATCAGTGGTTGTTACAAAATCTCTGTTAGGATTCCTCCGCTTTTTATAAATTTCCCCAAATAATTTTTGAGTCACAATTGTAGGATTCTCTGAAAAGTCTTCCGAATAGTTATTGCAATTCTTTTTTGGAAATATTTGGGAAGATTGCTCGTTATTAATAACCGGTGATTCTAATGAATCAAAAATCCACTTCGGCTTATTACAATTAGCACAAATTTCGCCATAAAAACGCGTCCCAAAAAACAATTTTTGATTCGTTTTGAACGTGTTTATTTGTGGAATGTGGATGATTTCAATTTGTGAATTATCCAAAACGGGTTGTTCCATCAAATTCTGAGGGTTTAACGTTGGATGTTGTTGGCAACTGCATTTTTTATTCGGTTTCATACAAACTCCACCCATTCAAAAATTCCATACAAGATTAAATTACTTTTATAATAAAGTTTTTTCACTAAAAATTTTGATTATTTATTACGTCAATTTGACAGAATCATGTTTGATATAGGCAACCCAATTTACGTCACACCTATTTTTTTTTTAATATTTATTTTTTTATCTAAAAAACTTTATTATCAACATCGCATAAAGATAATTATAAATAATGTTTTAAATGTTAAAGAATCAATAAATAAAATTGAAATAATAAATTAAAAGCAATTATTATTAACAAAAAAAAATAATGTACCAACGTAAAAATGTAAAACAATTAAATCACTAGATTTGCATCAACGGGAACAACAAAACAAACATTCCTTAATTTTCCGCCGTTTTTCTTCAATAATAACCACTTTTTATCGTTTAAACCCACCGAAACTTCTTTAAGTAAGTATTTTAAACAATTCTACACTTGATTAATGTTTTTCCATGCATGAATTCACATAAAAATCGTGACTAATTTCAACATAGCATACCAACACAATTAGTAACACTACATTTACTGTTATTGTTACTTGTTACAGATTGGGAAAGGTAGACTACATCAAGGATATTTTAGAAAATCTTATGACGAGTTTTGTGAAGATGCCTACTCAATTAGACGACAGCAGCACCCCGGAAATTCGCGCAAAAATAGCTTATGATGGTGAAGTTCTTATAACGTATATTAACCCCAGTATTACCTTGGAGGAAATGTGCAAGGAAATGCGAGATACATGTAGGTTCACTCATGATCAAGATTTTACAATGAAATGGGTCGACGAAGACGGAGATCCTTGTATTATTTCAACTCAAATGGAACTTGACGAGGCTATTCGATTATACGAAATTAATAAGGACTCAGAGTTAACTATACATGGTAAGTTTTTGAAAGAATTAATATTCATCTCACAAAACATTCTTGTAATACACCAGACGAATTGTAAAATTGTGTTCTGACCTAGTGAACTAAACAAAATTCGTCATTCAGCAATTAAGTTCGATTCTGTGTCTCTAAATTGATTCATAGAACGTTTTCATACGTTGAAAGACAACGAACGAGTTAAATTTTCGCGTCTAAAATAAAATTAAGTAGCAATAAAAGAAAAACAAGGGTTTTTAAGTGTAATTAAGTTCTTTATAAACGCGTGAAGTGGATTATTTTTGATATCAAAAAGAGTTTGTTGGAACATGATTTTACTTGCAATTAGAGGTAAGTTATAAATCATTTTATGGTTTATTTACTGTTAATAAAACAGGTTTTTATTGATTAATCATTGAAAAGTTTTTAAAATATTTACATATGCTTTATGTAGCATTTGATTTTATCGTTTTGTATGAGTTCAAGGTTAATTATTTATTCTGTGTTTGAGTTTAAATTGAACTTCCAATTAAAACTAGACAAGGTCGCTTGTGGCTGAGGCATTAGAACCTAACCTGATAAAGAGTGCTCGTTTTTGTGGCTGAGGTAGCATAAATTTTTCACTTTTATTTAAATATTAAAGAAAATTACAACTTTAGGTTATGTCATATTTGACTTTGACACTTAAATATGTGATTCGTCAAAATGTCAATAGATGGAGTTTCGATTTAAATTATAAAAATTTTCGAGCCAAAATGGTTGGTTGACAACTTGTCACTGCATCTCACAACTTATTTACAAAAATATTACCGTCTTGTTGCCTTTGAAGTTACAAAATAGCAGTAAGAAGGACTTTCAACTCTTCAGAGTACCAGGAGAAAAAACTAAGAAATTTTGGAGTAATGTTATCAATAGAACGACATAATTTTAAATTTCCCGCTTGACTTTCGAGCCAAAATGGCTGCAAATCGCGGTACTTTGTAAATCTAGGGACTTTAAATTATAATTTAAATTAAAGAGGTTGTAGACGAGGTCGCTCGCGGCTTAGGCATTAGAATTTAAGTTTATTAAGAGATAGTAGATGTATTCGCTTTTGTGGCCGAGGTACCACAATATAAGCTTCTAAAGACGTGGAAGCCGAGGTCGCTTGCGGCCAAGGCATTAGAACATAAGCTGATAAGAGATAGTACATGTGCTCGCTTTTGCGGCCGAGGTACTACAATATAAGCTGATAAAAAGATAGTGAATGTGCTCGCTTTTGTGGCCGAGGCACTATAATTTAAGTTGTTAAAGAATGATTCTAGTTCTAGGTATAGTGTTAGTTCAAGTTTTACACTTGCACTGTCACTAGAACTAACATTAGATCTAGAACTGGTAACATTTGGGTTTAGCCAAATTAGCAATGGCGTAGACAATATTTTTGAAAAAGGGCTTTTAATTGCAGATAATGTTTAATTCTAAAGAAACTTTGACTCGCTATATCTCGTTAAGGAGGCATTTGCGACTCCATGTATATTAAGACTATTCGTCTTAATATTTCATGTATTATCTACTCTAGAAGTCTGTTTTTGAAGCGGTTTTTGAATCACTTGTAGAATTATTTGACATATTATGTCAAATTAATGTGAAGTTGGAACAAGTTTAACAGGGAATTTTATTATGTCATGTTTTGAAATCAACCTGTCATTTTGACGTTTGATTTTTCGTTATTCAAAAAGATAAATTTAGTTTTTAGCCTGAAAAGTACGTAATAAAGAAAACCAAATACATTAAATCTTTTTAAATAATAATCGGTATCGTTTTTCACATCAATAATTTCGAATCACCAATTATTTTATTCCCAATTGATAACCATAGAAAACTTGTTAATGATGTAGAAGTCAAGATCTCCTGGGAGTTTGTTGATTAATATCAATGAAGGCAGATAAACGATTGATGAATAAGAAAAAGTTGCGATGTAAATCGTCCCTCATCAAGATTAATTACAAATGAAACACAACGGATAAAAATAAAAAAAATGCTATAACTACGAAGATTATAAATTTCTGAAGTGAGTGTTAAATGAATAAATTTTAAAATAAAATTAAGATATTCTGTTAAGGCGCATGTGTGTGTTGATGCATCAAACTCCTCTTCTCATTCTTTTTTTGCTTTGGGGGGGTTGGTGGAGGCGTCGGCGTTTATATATCGATTTTAACGGCGGCGGCGCGAACGTCGCGACGCCCCCCTCGGTACAACATTGCCAGACTTTGACAACAGACGTCGAGGAAAGATTCACGACGACATCAAAAAGAAATTATTTCCAACCGAGCCTTCCCCCAGATTTTAAGATTTTCTTTAATCCCGATCATGTAAAAAAAGGAGGAAAAGTGCAGTGACGACAGTGATTGTTTTAAGTGATGTTTTAATATTTGTGAAAATTATAAATGGTGGAGAAACGTAGGATTCTGAGTCAATTTGTTGATTTAATCTTGAAGATTTAGATGTGATGATATTTGAAATAATTTGGGTTTAAGAAAAGGAGAGAAATTGAAATAAGGTAGATTTTTTTAAATTTTTGGGTGGTTTTTTGAAATGAAACGATTTTTTTTTGGTTGGAAAAGAAAAATAGAGGTGTTTTCTTTGAGATGATAGATCGATTATCCCATTCGGGTGTTAATATCGCTCGACTGCGGAAAAGATTTTTTGGATAACGGCCAAATTGGAACGACCGGAACTGGGGCAAACGAATTTTTTTTATTTTTGATAAACTTTTCTAAAAAAAAACCCACCCAATTTTTTTAAATTTATTAATGTGTCATATTTTTTAGAATTATTTTTTTTGATTCTTAAACAAAAATAATTACAAGACAAAATATGGCTTGGGGATATTGGAGCGCAACAACCGTTTCCGATCGTGGTCGTAGTCCCAGACGGAATCAAAACGGCGGATCAACCGTTCAGCAACAACAACAACAATCAATCCCTGTTACCATCGAAGACAGACAACCCTCAGTTAGTACTAGTTTCTCAACTTCAACCGTAACCTCAAACAATAACGCGCAACAACAGCAACAATCAGAAATCACGGAATTTGATGTGGTTCCGGGGACGTTTTCGCGAAGACCCTCGTTGGATTTAAGCATAGGGATGGTTCCGCAAGGATCTTTAGCCGGGATTGTGTGTGCGGCTCACGGATCTCGACATCAAGGTGGGACTTTATCCGCCGGAAATACTTTAACGCGCATGGGGAGTCGACACACAGCTGTTAGCGTCGAATACGCGGTCCCGCATCATTTACATCATCATCATTCCACTTATTTTGATTATCATATCCAACAGCAGTTATCGTTTTCTGATGATGATTCTAGTTCGGAACCTGGATACGCTACAGGTACTAAATAATTATAATTATTATTTTTAAATAACCAATTCAACGTGTATCTAATAAATAAAGTGATAAGAAATAATCTTATCTGGATAATAAACGAGAGAGATTGCACGCTAGGATTATATTTTGGTAAGGTGGATCCAGTTCGAAAACGACCTCTAAACCGTAATTGTGTTAGTTGAAAGTTTTATTTCTCCACAAAAGAAATGAGATTATTTGGTTTTTCTATTTATTGTGTGTTTGAATTGAGAGGAAACATTAAAAAATGGAACTCGTTATAAAGTTAAATTATTAAATTACTAATGTTTTGCGATTGTTGTTGTAATAAATTTTTCATGATGAGTATTTGGAATGATTTGTGCGAGGCGGCCGTCATGTACGGTTATCACCCAGCTATCGCTTTCGATGTCACATCTGTGTTTCAAAGCTTTCCTAGAGGTGAGACGAATTAAAAAATAATTAGGATACATTAACACAGTTACATAAAAAACGATTTCACGAAATCAAAAAGCTTTTTATCTTAAATACCCCATATCATCATTATCTTAAAACAAAAACGATTAACGATGAGTTTAAAAATAAATAAAACCCATTGAAATTAGAAAAATGTTTCTTGCTTTACGTCCATGTAAGTAATTTATTTTTAAATTCATTCTTAATTATTTCGTTTTAATTTTTTTTGTTGTATTGTAGTAGTATTAATTTTTGAATTACGTAAAAGATAACACGCCTCTTCAAAAATATGTTTTGATAAAAAAATTCCTTACTATTAATTTTGTGATAAAAAAAATCTTTCTAAATAAATTTGTAATATTGCGAGATATTTTTTATAAAATTTAAGGTGGCGGAAAATAAATGATTCATAAATATTGAGGTTGATTATTAAAAATCGAGTAAAATGAGTCCAAACGCGTTTCGGTCGAGATATCTTTATTTTTATAAAATCAAGATGGCCGAAAACAAAACACTAATAAATTGTACCATCTATGTTTTTAAAAAAAAAAGTTGATTAGTTTTGTAAATAACTCTAAAACGATGCGTCTAATCAAAAATTTCTAAGAGTAAAAATCATTTTAAAATGAAATGGGCTTTTAGAATCAGTTGGAACATTTAAGGTTTTAAGTTTTAAGGAAATAACTTTTGTGAACATCCTGTATGTAACATAGCATTGATCCTGTGGTTTATTTTCAAAAGTGATTTTAAACGATTTCTCATGATAACATTGCATTATTTGCCAAATTTTATCTTTTTAATACAATCCATATTGAAAATATTTAAGAAAATGTTTGAAAATTTCTTAACTTTGAAGAAACGTCATCATTATGCCATTAATTAAAAATATGCCACGACTTACAGAAACACCTGTATATTACTTTTACATATATATTCAAAAAGTTAAACTAGAATAAAAACATTACTTTAAACATAAATTATTGATCGGAACAATTACAAATTTACCTTGAAATTGTTAAAAATTAATTTTCATTTTGAGGTTGTCTGTTTTTAGATGTCAATTTGACAGTTTCAAGAAAACAAGGTTGTTTCATTAATTCTATAGTATTACTTTTATATTTACATTCAAAACGTCAAACTAGAATAAAAACATTAATTTAAACATGAATTGTTGATCAGAACAATTAAAAACTTACCTTGAAATAGTTAAAAAGTAAAAATTAATTTTCATTTTGAGGTTATGTTTGTTTTTAGATGTCAATTTGACAGTTTTAACCTTTCAACAAAACAAGGTTATTTCATTAATTCTACATTACTTTTATATTTACATTCAAAAAGTCAAACATTAACTTGATTAATTTATTGAATGGAATAATTAAAAACTTACCTTGAAATTGTTAAAAAGTAAAAATTAATTTTCATTTTGAGGTTATGTTCGTTTTTAGATGTCAAACTAGAATAAAAACATTAATTTAAACATGAATTATTGATCAAAACAGTTTAAAACTTACCTTAAAATTGTTAAAAATTATTTATTTTGAGGTTATGATTTTGTTAAATCAAGAATATTATTTATTTTTATAAATTTTAATAGTAATTTTTTTAATTCGATCAAAACTAACATAAAAACGTTATTTTCGATAAAAGACGATGATTAGAATGATTAAAAACTTAATAAACCGTTATCAATTATCAACGCGAAATTGACAACTCAGCACTTTGACGTTTAAACGTCAAATCAGAAGATTTTCTTGGTTGCCCGGGGTAACGTATGAAAAGTTTATTTAAATTACAGTGAAATTTCCCTAATTTGAACTTTTATATTTCGAATTATTCTCTAAATCGAATAATTTTCGTAAGCTCAAGCGTTTCACCAGGTTTCAAATGTAGTTTTATCTCTCTACGTCGAATTTGACTAATTCTAGCCGCCTTAAGAGACGTAGGGCTGTTAGTTTTCGTTTTATACTAGCACTGCTACTATGTAACACTATACCTAGAACTAGAAACATTTGAGTTTAGCTCTGTGTCTCTTAAGACGGCTAAACTCGAATGATTCTAGTTTTTGGTGTAGCGCTGTATAACAATTAAAACTAGAATTAACACTAGACCTAGAAATAGAAAGACTCGGGTTTAGTGTTAGTTCTAGTTTTACACTAGTACTGTTATTATGTAATGTTGTTAACAGTGCAAGTATGAAACTAGAACTAACACTATACCTAGAACTAGAATCATTCGGGTTTAGCCGTCTTTAGAGACGTGCGGCTAAACCCAAAGGATTCTAGTGCTAGGTATAGTGTTACTTCTACACAGTAAAAGTGCTAATGTAAAATTAGAACTAACACTAGACTTAGAACTAGAAACTAGAAAACTAGAACTAAAATGTTTCTAGTTCTGGGTTTAGTGTGACTTCTAGTTTTAATTATTATCCAGTGCTAGATTGTTGTATATTTTTATTGAAGTAATTGAAAGGTTAAAATTTAACCTTTATGTATATTTAATATACATATTAGAAAAGACAATTTCTAATTATTTTCTTTAGAGCTATAATTCAACTAAGTTTTCTTAGCGATTTGAGTTAGGGAAATTTCACTGCATTTTTAATTCAATTTACTAAAAAGTAATGATTCAGAAATTGATTTTTTTTAACCTATAAGATAAGCGTGTAAAAGATTAGATTAAGAATTTAACCGAAATTACATATTGTTTTGCTTCGTTTTGTACACATTCTGAAACATTTTTGTAGTCCCATTTTATTTATTTATTTATTTATTCGATTTCTCGAGGAACCATGCCCAACGCCCGTTATTTATTTCGCTGTTTTTGTTCCCCAGTTTTTCCAAATGTACCATCGCAACCGGGAATGCCATGCCAAGGAGAAGACAGTAAGTTTTTCCCATTCATTTTCATTTCAATTTTAATTTATTGCAATACACCTTTAATTTTTCTCACTAGAATTTTATTTATCACAGTTTATTTTGCAACAAATTTCAAATTAAACCAAACGATTCAAACAGGTTGTTTTTTATGTAAACTCGTTTTTAAACTCGATTCAGTTAAACGTCTTCATTCAACTCGATAACTCTGTATAATTGACCAAGTGCTTAACGCATTTTTAAATAATGATTATTATTTTTAATTATGTTAAGATACGAAAAGATATATTATAAAGATGATGTTGCAAGTTGTGTATAAAATTTTTTGTAGGTTATAATTGATTTAAATTATTTTATTTAATTTGTTTTAATCTTAAAGGGAGTATCTATAGGAGAGGAGCTAGAAGGTGGAGGAAATTGTATAGGGTTAACGGGCATATTTTCCAAGCGAAAAGATTCAACCGGGTAATTATAATTTATTTTAATAACATTAAGAATTAATCAAATTAATTTATGTTTTAGAAAGCTTTTTGTGCTTATTGCCACGATCGCATTTGGGGGTTAGGCCGGCAAGGATTTAAGTGCATTCAATGTAAACTTCTCGTCCACAAGAAGTGCCATAAGCTCGTTCACATCGCGTGCACGAACGAGCACGTTGAGCAAATCGTGCAGGAGGAGCAAAACGGTGAGAGTCAAGTTGCCAATCGGTTCCCAAGCGGCCGATTTGACCGAAACTCCATTAGGAATTGCCAAGAACCACCCCCCGACGTCACAGGTTAATATCCCAATTAATTCAACACCCCAAAGTTAATTTCTAATGTCTTTAGGTGAATCAGTTCCTGTTGAAGACCCCGAAAAGCCCCAAACGACTGATAACACATTAGAACCCGGCTCAGAGCGTCAATATTCCCTAAACGATTTTGAATTAATTCGCGTAATCGGACGAGGTTCTTACGCGAAAGTTTTGATGGTCGAGTTGAAAAAAACGAAACGGATTTATGCGATGAAAGTGATTAAAAAGGCTTTGGTTACGGATGATGAGGACATCGATTGGGTGCAAACTGAAAAGCACGTTTTTGAGACAGCCTCAAACCACCCGTTCCTCGTCGGGTTACACTCCTGCTTCCAAACTCCATCGCGGCTCTTCTTCGTCATCGAATTCGTCCGCGGTGGCGATTTAATGTTTCACATGCAGCGACAAAGGCGGTTACCCGAAGAGCACGCGAGGTTCTACGCCGCTGAAATCTCTTTGGCTCTACATTTTTTGCACAGCAAAGGAATAATTTACCGCGATTTAAAGTTGGATAATGTTTTGTTAGATCATGAGGGTCATATTAAGCTTACCGATTACGGGATGTGCAAAGAAGGCATCCGGCACGGTGATACCACCTCGACGTTTTGTGGCACCCCTAATTATATCGCGCCGGAGATTTTGAGAGGCGAAGATTACGGGTTTTCGGTTGATTGGTGGGCGTTGGGGGTTTTGCTGTATGAGATGTTGGCGGGGAGATCTCCGTTTGATATCGCCGGGGCTTCTGAGAATCCGGATCAAAACACCGAGGATTACTTGTTCCAGGTTATTTTGGAGAAAACGATTCGTATCCCGAGATCTTTAAGTGTTAAAGCGGCGAATGTTTTAAAAAGCTTTTTGAACAAGAATCCGGCGGATCGATTGGGTTGTCACGGAACCGATTCGTTCTCTGAGATCACAGGGCATCAATTTTTCAAAAGTATCGATTGGGATATGCTCGAACAAAAGCAGGTTCCTCCGCCGTACAAGCCCCGCTTGGATTCTGATAGGGATTTGGCCAATTTCCCCCCGGAATTTACAGACGAACCCGTTCATTTAACTCCTGATGATCCGTAAGACAACTTTAAATTTAATTAATAAATTATTTTGTCCATAACTACCTTATAATATTTGTATATAGTGAATAATAGCGGTGAATAATCATTATTCAAGAGTAATCAACTTGACAGACTTCAATAATTATTTGAAACGTCAAAATTTCAAAAAACGTCCATTTAATTTAATTTTTTAGTATTTTCTAAAGGTTTGACATTAAAAAAACGTAAACAAATTCCTTTTTTTTTTTGTTTTAGGCTTAATTTATTTATTTTTGTTAAAAAAACATGACGTTTCATAAAATTGACATTTAATTTTGACAAATTATTGTGAAGTTGGTTACATTGAATTTGTATCACATTGACGTTTAACTTTATTCAAAAATTTATTTAAAAAAATGAGTTTTAAAGGATAGTCATTTTTCACAGAGTGAAAAATAGCGGTAAATAAACCTTATTCACTGATAATCAACTCTACAGACTAATAATTATTTGAAACGTCAAAATTTCAAAAAAAGGCAATTTAATTTAATTTTTTTAGGTTTGACATTAAAAAAGCATAAAGAAATTCCTTTTTTCGTATGATGTAAGCATAAATTAATTAATTTTAGTAAAAAAACATGACGTTTCATAAAATTAACATTTAATTTTGACAAATTGTTGTGAAGTTGGTTACACTTGGTAACATTAAATTTGTATCACATTGACGTTTAACTTTATTCAAAAATTTATTTAATAAAATTAGCTAAAAAGGGTTGACATTAAAAAAACGTAAACGAATTCTCTTTTTCGTATGATTTAAGCATAAATTATTTTCGTTTCATAAAATTAACAATTAATTTTGACAAATCGTTGTGAAGTTGGTTACAGATGGTAAAATTGAATTTGTGTCACATTGACGTTTACACTTTATTTAAAAAAATAAATTTATTGAATCAATTTTAGCAGTAGTCGTGGACAAAGTATAGTATTCTTTATTGTAGTATAATATTCTATATTTTGGTTTGTTTTAGGAGGGTGATTGAGAAGATTGATCAATCTGAATTTGAAGGGTTTGAGTACGTGAATCCGTTGTTGATGTCGCTGGAGGATTGTGTGTGACACAAAGTAACCTGCGAATTCCACCCGGATAACATTCCCCCGGCGCCTCCGCTGCCGCGGTATCCACCACCATGTTTCCCCCCACCTCCACCCCCCGTATTTATGGTTCCACACCATCACTTAACGGAATTGGAGGATGATTACGACCTCATGGAGGTGGATATTCGACCTCCCCCGCCCAACAAATCAATTTTGCAGAACATTTTTTGCCTCCCCCTCAATTAACCACCTTATTATTCTTAAAAATTTTCGGAATTGAGTTTTTGTTTCAATTATTTCAATTTAGGGCAGCTAGGCTTAAAAAAGTACCTACTTAAATGCTAAGTATTAAAAGAAAAACTTGTTGACTGTTAACCTTGATTTTCTTCCTGATTAAAACAATGTATTAAAAGAAATTCGTATTAATAATTATATTAACGATTAAAAAGAAATTAGTAATAATAAGCAAATACATACTGTATATTCTAAAAAAAATTTTAAGGGAGTTTTTGAGAAAAATTAGATTTTTTGCACTTGTAGTAACGATGTTGCTGTATTTGAGAGCAAATCCAATCCCGCGATAAAAAGCAACGAGGCGCAAAGTGGGTTTTAACGCAAAATAACAATCTTAAAAAAAGTTTAAAAAATTATATTATTAATCGTAACTTCCAGAAAGAGAGAAAATGTGAAAAAAAGATTATCATGTGATATATCTCCACTAATAATCGATTAAAAGATGTTTTAATTCCGTATTTATTAGTTAATTTACATTTATACAAAGTTAAATAAAAAGTGGGCGACTGAAAAGTGATTTTGTATGATGATTAAAACTAAAAAAATAACGATAAAGGGGAAAGAAACTATATAAACCGTAGGATTAAGAATTTTCGGACGGTGGGCGTAACTTAATAATTATAAAAATAATTTTCGTTTTTGATAATAAGCGAATACTTTGTTAAAAAAAAAAACATATATACATAGTATTATAATTAAGAAAGTAACGTTATTTAGTATTAAAAATTAATGAATCGAAATCAATTGGTATTGTTAACGTTTACTGGCGAAACGGCACATTCCATTCTATTTAGATATTTTTTTTAAACAATTTAATTTAAACGATATATTATTATTATTATTCTCTTCTGACTTGTGTTTATTTATATACGAATAAAGCGTTTAAATAAAATTATTTTATTAATTTAAAAAAAGAAAAAAATAGGCAACCCATCTTACTTTAAAAAAAAATTAATGCAATTTTGGTTGCATACATAACTTTAAATAATTTAAATTAAATCAATAAATTAAAAATGTTTATACTTAAAAATATGCAACATAGTGATATTTTATGCTAACTAGCGCTACCTGCCAACCGTCTTAATAGAGATACAGCTAAAGGGAATGTTTCTAGGTCTAGTGTTAGTTTTAATACTAGTATTAGTTTAGTTTAATTTGTTATTCAGCGCTAGATTATTAAATATTTTTATTGAGCTAAGCGAACACTGCCTTCCCCGTAATAATCCGTTACATCGAGATTTTAGTGTATCACAATATCACATTATATTGATATGTTACATTAAAGGTACAACTAAAAAGAAATTATGCAACCCATCTTATTTCTAAAAAAATTAATGAAATTTTGGTTGCATACACAATTATTTTTAAATAATTAAAATAAATTAAAAATATTTAAAATTGAATTCCTTTCAAGTAATTATTTTAAATAATGTAAATTGTTTAATAACACAAAGAAATTTAATAGCAATGACAATTAACACAAATCGTATAAAATTCCACCACCAATTAAAAAAAAACTGGTTTTAAAATAATCTACGTTTAAACACACAAACAAATTCACTTAAAACCGTCTAAAACTCGTTCGAATATATTTAGTTGTTAGTGACCTTTAACTATAGAAAGACGACGACCTGCTTGCTTGAGTTGAGAGTAAACCGACGAGAAAAAAAAATTAAAATGAAAAATCTGGGCGGATTTCTGTGTCAAGGACTGTTGTTATACGCGATTCAATAAAAATCAGAAATACATTTGCTCTCGTTCAGTTCAATTATATACCACCGCACCTGGATATCGAGTGTAATTGTTTTAATTGTTGCTTTTAAATTTAATTGAGAAAAAATCGTTGTAATTCCGGGGATTTGTGGAAAAAGTGATTTTTTTAATTGGTGAGATGGATGAAAAGGATTTGCAGTTGGCCCGGGCGATTGTGGCGAATGATTTGTCCGAATCGGCGAGTTCTACACCTTCGGGGAGCCCAAAACCGCTTCGGAAATTACAAAATGATAAAATTAGAGCTTTTAGGTAAGTCAGATGTATTTGTGTATTTATGGTTGGTGAATAGAAATAGAAAGCATGTGCCCGGGTAGCTCAGTCGGTAGAGCATTGGACTTTTAATCCAAGGGTCCAGGGTTCAAGTCCCTGCTCGGGCGATGTTTTTTTTTTCTTTTTGTTTACATTTTTTTTTTTTTAATTAATTTATGCTTTTTTGTTTGAATATGATTAATAATAATAACGTTTTAATAATTATAATTGAAGAATTAAATTAATTTAAAGTAAGCAACCAATTTCTTAGAAAGCGGTGATGTTGGTTGCCTATACTAAAAATTTAAATTGATTTTATCAAAATTAACCCTCAAAATAATTAAACATCAAATTTTATTGAATAAATACTTAAAAATACATTCATTAATTATAATTTTAATCAAAATCCTTCTCAAATAACTTCAAAAATTGCCAAAAAGTCGTTTGAAATCGTTGAATAAAATCCGGGGGTGATGTTTAAGGGTAACTCGGCACTGGTGGTGTAGTGGTATCATGCAAGACTCCCATTCTTGCGACCCGGGTTCGATTCCCGGTCAGTGCAACATATTTTTTATTTTTTAAATTCTAAAAATTAATTCTTTAATAGTTTCTATAATGTTTTAATAATTAATGTTAATTTAGTGTTGAAAATATAATCCAGGTTATGTTAGATTATAAATAAACGTTTTTGAGAAAAAAATAAAAAGTTATTTTTGACGTTTTTAAAATGACCGTATATTTTAAATAATCGTGAAGTATGAAACGATTTTGATATCAAATAAAGCTTAACTTTTAGAAATTATCAAAGATTTCAAAACAATACAATTTTACTTTATACAATTTGAATGTATCCTTCAATTTTAATTACAGTTTTCTGTAATTTTGTTCAACAATATTCGAGGTTGACAGCGTCAAAAAATCAAAAAATTTAATTTAAAACAATTTCAAAACAGTTTTGATCTATTTTATACCTATAATGGACCTTTAATGGATGACGAAAGGTTAGAAACGAAATTAAGGCGTTATTTATAAACGTTAATGACGGTTTTTTAACGAATTTTTTAATTAATAATTAATTTTAGATGTAATAGCCCCAAAGTACAACTTTGTACACAAACTTGTCGTGATTGTTCAAATCGTTCCACGGGTACTAACTTGTAAGTAATTTTTAATTAATGCCCTTTTAAATTAAATTTATTAAATAAGATTCATTTAAATTAGGTAAATTAAAAAAGATGTTGCGATTTTAAAGGTTGGTTTTCAATCGCGATGGTGGTGTAATGGTCAGCATAGTTGCCTTCCAAGCAGTTGATCCGGGTTCGATTCCCGGCCATCGCACTTTTTTTAATTATTTTTATTAATCTAAATTTTATTTCAAAAGGATTAAATTAAATTAATTAAAAAACCGTTTTTATTAATAATAATTTATTAATGAAATTATTTTTAAACAAAATAGTTTAAATATTACAAATAGATGTCGCGCTTCTCAAACAACCAACAAAACTCGTTATTTAAACACGAAAACTTTCGCCATGACCGGTTTAAAGGTCAAATTTTCCCTCGGGCCCCGTGAAAAATCGACAGAAACCCCACCCGGGGGCTCAATAATTTCAACATTTAACGGTGACCGCTCGAGACCGTTCATTTCGTAGTCGAAGAAAACATAACGCGTACATCATAACCTCAAAAACCTTGTTTGACGGCGTTCGTCCCCGATGCGCCCTGGGACGTTGGGTTTTTCGCGATGGAATCATTATGGAACGGTTCAGACGTCGACCTATCAATTTTAAGACGTTGTAGAATGGCCGAAAGGCAAGAATTTCGTTTAAAAAAATTCAAGGACGTAAGTAATAACATTGAGGGTGATGAACAACAAAACGTACGATTTTCCGACGAAGATTCGGGGTGCTTTTACGAGGACGGCGAAAGGATACGACGGAGAAGACGATCAGGAACTTGGCCGTAAGTCAATTAAAAAATTAGGTTAAAAACGTTTTAATTTTAATTACGTAAGTTTAATTGTGACATAAATTTTTTTGTTTGTATTTACGTTGACGTCATGGTGATAGTTGATTTGTTTAGAAAGTTGAGGCGATTTTGATTTTGTTGGCGGTACGGGTTCGAATCTTGTTGGAACAATTTTTTTTTATTAATTTTTTTATTTTTATTTTGTTCTAGGAGAACGAGATCATTAAACGCACCGTCTCCTATTCAACAATTTGGACCATGTGGTCGTATTATGAAGAATTCAGCTATGGTTATGTAAGTACAATAAAAAATTTATTTAATTTTGATAGTATTAAAAATTGGCGTGAAATTAGCCCCTAAAATGGTACATAATTTTTTTTTCCGCTTGGTGTCGCTGTATCTGGTATGGAAAAGCAATTTTTTTGGTTATATTCTTAATTATTGTTTGTATCAGAAAATGTTTCAAATAATACTTGTTCAGAATTGGATGGAAAACAGTTTTTGTTAATAAAATTTTTTTAAATATTCGCTAGGTGTTGATGTGTACTGGTATGAAAAACTCTTTTTTTTAGGTTATGTTCTTAATTATTGTTTGTATCGGAAAATGATTCAAATAATACTTGTTCAGAATTAGATGGAAAACAGTTCTTGTTAATAAAATTTTTCAAGATATTCGCTAGGTGTCGCTGTGTACTGGTATGGAAATCCAATTTTTTAGGTTATGTTTTTAATTATTGTTTGTATCGGAAAATGTTTCAAATAATACTTGTTCAGAATTGGATGGAAAACAGTTCTTGTTAATAACATTTTTCAAAATATTCGCTAGGTGTCGATATGTGCTGGTATGAAAAACTCGTTTTTTTAGGTTATATTCTTAATTATTGTTTGTATCGGAAAATGTTTCAAATAATACTTGTTTAGAATTGGATGGAAAACAGTTCTTGTTAATAAAATTTTTCAAAATATTCGCTAGGTGTCACTGTGTAGTGGTATGGAAAACCAATTTTTTAGGTTATGTTCTTAATTATTGTTTGTGTCGAAAAATGTTTCAAATAATACTGGTTCAGAATTGGATGGAAAACAGTTCTTGTTAATAAAATTTTTCAAAATATTCGCTAGGTGTCACTGTGTAGTGGTATGGAAAACCAATTTTTTAGGTTATGTTCTTAATTATTGTTTGTGTCGAAAAATGTTTCAAATAATACTGGTTCAGAATTGGATGGAAAACAGTTCTTGTTAATAAAATTTTTCAAAATATTCGCTAGGTGTCACTGTGTAGTGGTATGGAAAACCAATTTTTTAGGTTATGTTCTTAATTATTGTTTGTGTCGAAAAATGTTTCAAATAATACTGGTTCAGAATTGGATGGAAAACAGTTCTTGTTAATAAAATTTTTCAAAATATTCGCTAGGTGTCACTGTGTAGTGGTATGGAAAACCAATTTTTTAGGTTATGTTCTTAATTATTGTTTGTGTCGAAAAATGTTTCAAATAATACTGGTTCAGAATTGGATGGAAAACAGTTCTTGTTAATAAAATTTTTCAAAATATTCGCTAGGTGTCACTGTGTAGTGGTATGGAAAACCAATTTTTTAGGTTATGTTCTTAATTATTGTTTGTGTCGAAAAATGTTTCAAATAATACTGGTTCAGAATTGGATGGAAAACAGTTCTTGTTAATAAAATTTTTCAAAATATTCGCTAGGTGTCACTGTGTAGTGGTATGGAAAACCAATTTTTTAGGTTATGTTCTTAATTATTGTTTGTGTCGAAAAATGTTTCAAATAATACTGGTTCAGANTAAAAAATTAAGGTTGGTATTAATATTTAAAAATTAAATTGCTATCTTCATTGTTGCTAACTTCGGGTTTAACGTTTTTTATTCTAACTTTTTTGTTTTTTGAGATAAGTGCGTCATCTTTGGACTCATTTTAAAGGTTTTTTAATGAAGATGACAAATATGTCAAAATTGACGTTGACAACAAGACGTTGACAATAAAAATATGCAACATAGTAATATCTTATGCTAATTAGTACTACATACCACTGTCACTAAAACTAACATTAGACCCAGAAAGATGACATAACCTCAAAAATTATGAATAAATTTTTTTAATTATTTTTTAGAACTCCGGAAATATGTTTGACCTTAACTTAATGCATTATTTATTGTTATCGATCTTAAATTCCGATTGAATATTCATTTATTGGAATAATAATTCGGAAAGGAAAATGTTTTAATTCTTTTTTAGCAAGAAAAATCTTTAAAAAACAATCTTTATTATAGAACTGGTTCCTGTTTGTTACTTTTTGTGTGATGACATCGTTAATGAATCCTATATTATGTGAACTCACCTTGAAAATACGTATTTCCCCCTCCGCGAAACGTTGAAGCGATGAAATGAATTGCCGATTTTGCCTCTCATTGCCGATAAAGTATTTATTATCACGGTTCGTGCTCATCTCCATTCGTTTTTCAAGTTGTCCGAATCGCGAATGTGTTTAATTTTCAATTCTGTTTAGTTGAATAAGTTTTATAGAATTAAATTTGTCCCACATTAAATTATTAATTTTAACTATGACATCAATTTAGGTTTTTTTAACACGATTATCTCCAAATCCACGATTAATCAAGAAATTCGTTGTTTTTGTTGTCAGTTTGGTGATTATGGCGTAATCGTCCATCTATTTTTGTGCTTGGGAATGTTATAAAATACGTGATTTCGATTTAAAATTGGATATTTTTATCGCAATTCAATTTCATTATTAACTAAAAGGAAGTGAATTGATTACATGCGGTTTAAATATTTGTTTTGAAATTCCACAATAGTTTTTTTTGTGACGAAAAGTACAAATAAAAAAGCCACTTCCTCTTTAAAAAGTACAACAAACAAATTTTAAGGAATTATGGTAGCTAGTTTTGAATTTGATTGCTTGGATATGTCCAATATTGAGAGTTGTGAGAGTAATAATAACAACTCGGTTAGATTTGAATATAGGTACAAATTAGACTAAAATAATTTTTTTTTAATTATTTTAATTCTAATTATTGCAAATTTATTTTTTTAGGACCATTCAAGATCCTGCAAGTCAACGTTTAACTTGGTACAAACCACCACTTTCGGTTCTTGTGATAAAAAAGGTTCGAGATGCCTCCGTTTTATCGCCGTTTGTTCAGTTAGTGTATTGGCTTATTCAGGTTAGTTAAATAATTCAAATAAATCTGATGAGACTAAAATTGACCCGTGCGACCATAGCAACAAACTTTTACCCCTAATTTCGAACTAAATGCGAAAACCTAAATTCACCATTTGAAAGCTTTTAGACTGATGTAGAATTAAATTTCCTTCAAAATGAGTCCAAACTCGACTATTTTATCTTGTTTGGTTCTCGAGATATTCGAATTTTACGGTTTGATTATTATCAAAGATGGCGAATTATTACCATTTAATTAATTTTTTAATTTAAGTAAAAATTTTTGTATTCGATTTTAAATTAAAATCAATTTCGTTTTAATTTATATGGTGATTCAAACGAACAATTTTTTAAATTTTGGGTTATTGAGAAAAAGATAATAAAAAATAACAGTCGGGTTGGAATAAAGTTTATTTTGATCGATTTAGCATCAAATTTTCTTTAAAATGAGTCCAAACTCGACTATTTTATCTTGGTTGGTTCTCGAGATATTCGAATTTTAAAGTTTTATTACTATCAAAGATGGCGGATTATTACCATTAATTCTTTTATCGTAACTTTTTTGTTTTTTGAGATAAATATATCGTGTTTGGTATCAAATTAAAGGAAATTTAAAATCCTACCGATCTATGATAAATTTGATAATTAATTATGCAGTATAAAGGTGATAATAATAATAATAAATTAAGTGATTTTCATTAAAAATTTTTGAATTTGATTTTAAATTAAAATCAAATGTTTCTAGGTCTAGTTTGAGTTCTAGTTTTACACTAGCACTGTTACTATGTGGAACTAACACTATACCCAGAACTAGAATCATTTGGGTTTAGCCGTCTTTAGAGACGTGCGGCTAAACCCGAATGTTTCTAGTTCTAGGTCTGGTGTTAGTTCTAGTCACAGTGCAAGGGTAAACCTAGAACTAACACTATACCTAGAACTAGAAACATTCAGGTTTAGCCGAACGTCTTTTAAGATGGCTAAGATCTAATCTCTAATAATAAGGAAGATATCAGCTGAGAAAGTAGATAGGAGATTTGTTGCTATCGTGGCACGGGTACTAAAATCGTTAATAAAATCCCTATTTAACAGGAAAAAAGAATGGTAGTTTTTGTTGAATCCGCCGTAATGGAAGATCAAAATCTCGATGAACATTCCTCGTTTACTTCAGTTAAAGACCGATTGATGACATTTAAAGAAGGCAAAGATGATTTAACGGATAAAATCGATTTTATAATATGCTTGGGAGGCGATGGGACCCTTTTGTACGCGAGTCATTTATTTCAACAATCGGTGCCGCCAGTGATGGCTTTCCATTTGGGTTCGTTGGGATTTCTCACCCCGTTTCGTTTCGATAATTTTCAAGAACAAGTCACCAACGTGCTCGAAGGCAACGCAGCTTTAACTTTAAGGAGTCGATTGAGATGTATCGTTTTAAAAAAATCTAAAGATGGTGTTAAAGAAGATAAAACCCGGAAACCGCCCACGAACTTATTAGTTTTAAATGAAGTCGTCGTGGATCGTGGACCATCTCCTTATCTATCAAATATCGATTTATTTTTGGAGGGGAAATACATCACTTCAGTTCAAGGTGATGGTTTAATTGTGAGTACACCAACCGGAAGTACGGCTTATGCGGTCGCGGCGGGTGCTTCGATGATTCATCCGAGTGTCCCCGCGATTATGGTGACACCGATTTGCCCGCATTCGTTGAGTTTTCGACCGATTGTTGTTCCGGCCGGTGTTGAATTAAAAATTTCTGTTTCGCCGGATAGTCGGAACACATCTTGGGTTTCGTTTGATGGGAGGAATCGTCAAGAATTACGCCACGGGGATAGTTTAAGGGTGACAACGTCGATTTATCCGGTTCCTAGTATTTGTGCACAAGATCAAATTCAAGATTGGTTCGACTCGTTGGGCGAATGTCTTCATTGGAACGTAAGAAAAAGACAACGCCATCTAGACGAATTAACCGATTTAACACATTCAAGTTCGGATGACACGTTAGATTCGTTTGAACAAAACGAGTTGTTGGAAAGAGAGCAATAATAGATTAATTTTTTTGATTAAAATAAATTTAAAACAATAGTATTTTTATATGTTTCGAGATACGAGAATTTTCGCTGTCTATTTTCAAGATTATGTGATATTTTTATTAATATTTAACGTTTGTAAGCGCAAAGTTTTCTTATTTTGTAATCTTATTTATATATTTATTATTTAATTGATTTTTAATATTTTTTTTGGGGTTAAAATTAAAATTATACAGCGTCGCATGGTAATTTGGACCAATATCGTGCCAACACAAATCGAATTTTACATGTTATTAATAAGATAAATAGAGGTAAATAGAGTTATGTTGGGTTTATTAATAAATATTGTTAAATTATTTATTTTTAAAAGTCAATTCATTTTGGACACCTCTATTTTGTCTCTTTTTTTTTTTCTCCCTGTATATAAAATAAATCACGCCACTTTCTATTAACCAATTAGAATTAAGAATCGTTTCGTTACCATGGAGATTCGCGCGATTGAAGAATCGCAACAAAATAAAACCAGTTATTGTTGAGACGCTAATCTGTGTGGATCTGTGCCATGTTCCTCCAAGAATCCCGTTTTATCCCAATTTTCCTGGAAGCGGATCCTGTTTTCCTCATAAATCCAGATAAGTACGTTTAATTTAATTTCCTTTAATTTTTTTTTGATACGTCATAAGACGCCATTTTGATTTCACCGTTTAATAATAGATGGCGCTCATCAAATGACAACTTAATTTTGATGGATTTATTTATTAATCACCTTGCATTTTATATAATTTTATAATTATGTACAAATTGTTCTATGTATATACACAAACGGGAAATTTTTTAAAAAAATTTTTAAAAATCAATTCATTTTGGACACCTATATTGAATCGATTTCTTTTTATCCCTGTATATAAAATAAATCACGCCACTTTCTATTAACCAATTAGAATTAAGAATCGTTTCGTTACCATGGAGATTCGCGCAATTGAAGAATCGCAACAAAATAAAACCAGTTATTGTTGAGACGCTAATCTGTGTGGATGTGTGCCATGTTCCTCCCAAGAATCCCGTTTTATCCCGATTTTCCTGGAAGCGGATCCTGTTTTCCTCATAAAATCCAGATAAGTACGTTTAATTTAATTTCCTTTAATTTTTTTTTGATACGTCATAAGACGCCATTTTGATTTCACCGTTTAATAATAGATGGCGCTCATCAAATGACAACTTAATTTTGATGGATTTATTTATTAATCACCTTGCATTTTATATAATTTTATAATTATGTACAAATTGTTCTATGTATATACACAAACGGGAAATTTTTTAAATATTTTTTCTAAATTTAAATAACATTTTTTGTTTTTATACATCTCCTCAATTCTAAACAGCACCTAATTTATAATAATTAACTACAACTATGACCTAAGTCTTTAAATAACAATTTATTACTTTTCCTATTAGCCTACCACGGAATAATAAATAATAAACTCGCGGTGTTTTATAATGTATAAAAAAATGATGTTACATTTGGACGGTGGCTTTAATGACAATTATTTTTACGATTGCAAAAAAATAAAAAATGAAATAAATGGAACGAAATAATTAATAATACGCAATGATATATTTAAAGATAACGTTATTCTACGAGATTTCGCACTCCTTTATGTATCTACGTTCGATTTGGAATATGAAGGAACTGAATGATTGAAAACGAATACTAGAGAGCTACCTGATGGCGATGTAGCGCTTAAAGACTAGAAAATGCGCTTAATTCCTTTTAAACATATATGTACATTACGTTTATGTACAACATATAAATAATTAATTTCTTTCGAGACGCTAATTCGATCTCATTTTTATCTTAATTTCATTTATAGGAATACAATACTATCTTATTATTTTTTTTAATAAGATTAACTTATAAATAGTACCAGCAATGAGCTAAATAATAGTGATATAAACGTTGTTGATGATGATAACGATGAATATGCTGATGAAGAGAATCCGCACTCTTCTTGGCCATACGCTTTACAATATTCCTAAAAAAAAAAGGAAAAAATATAGTTATGTATACATTATTTTAAAAGAATTAATTAATCTTTGGACATATACATATGCAGTGAATTTCACTTAAGATGTAATATACAAAAATATATTTCCATAGAAACATAGTTGAACCATAGTTGCTTTGTCCCACATAAAATGCAACATGTCAATATAATTTGACATTACAGTAAAACCTCGATAATATCTGATTAATACGGGGAACGCAATGTTCGTTCAATAAAAATATACAACAATCTAACGCTGTATAACAAATCAAACTAGACTAACACTACCATTGGAACTAACACTATACCTAGAACTAGAAACATTTGGGTTTAGCCGCACGTCTCAAAAGACGGCTAAACCCAAATGATTCTAGTTCTAGGTATAGTGTTAGTTTTACATAGATAACAGTGCTAGTGTAAAACTAGAACTAACACTATACCTAGAACTAGAATCATTCGGGTTTAGCCGTCTTTAGAGACTTGCGGCTAAACCCCAATGATTTTAGTTCTAGGTATAGTGTTAGTTCTAGTTTTATACTTGCACTGTTAACAACATTACATAGTAACAGTACTAGTGTAAAACTAGAACTAACACTAGACCTAGAGCTAGAAACATTCAGGTTTAGCCGTGCGTCTGAAGACGCACGGCTAAACCCGAAACTTTCTAGTTCTAGGTCTAGTGTTAGTTCTAGTTTTAATTGTTATTCAGCGCTAGATTATTGAACTAAAAGTAGAACTAATACTATACCTAGAACTAGAATCATTTGGGTTTAGCCACACGTCTCTAAAGACGGCTAAACCCAAATGATTCTAGTTCTAGGTATAGTGTTAGTTCTACATAGTAACAGTGCTAGTGTAAAACTAGAACTCAGAATCATTCCGGTTTAGCCGTCTTTAGAGACTTGCAGCTAAACCCCAATGATTTTAGTTCTAGGTATAGTGTTAGTTCTAGTTTTATACTTGCACTGTTAACAACATTACATAGTAACAGTACTACTATCTGTGCAAAAAGTCAAGGCCCCTCACTTTAGAGATCGATATCTTCGCAACCGCTCCATAAAAAAAATTGCAACAAAATTTATTGTAATCACTGAACATTTTTACGTAACTTATGTTAATCTGAAAATTTTCGGATCCACGGTTTTCTTGTTACCGCGAGTTAAATGAAAAATGTACCCGATTTTTTACAGAATTGGCAACTTTATCAACTTTGCGATTTTTTTTCTCGATAACTATCGTACGAAAAAATTTTAATTTTGAACAGGTGGTAGTCTGATGTGTTCTAAATGAGTGGCATGTTTTATTTTTTCGATATTTCATACAGTTTCGCGGAAAATCGCGGTTTAGTAAGACGCCGTTATGTCGAAAACGGTTGGGTGGATTTCTTCGCGGATTTGACCAAAATATGTCAAATAATGTTGGTTGTCGGATTCCGTTATCACTTTTTCAATATTAAGGCTCTCTATTTTTTTAAGAGCGATTTAATGGAATTACAAATTAAAACGAAACAGAAATAAGCTCTGCGGGGTGACGAGGGTTCCGGCCAATCGGAACTGATGGTGCGTCCCAGACAGGACGTCGCGCCTTATTTCTTTATACAGGCAAGATAAAGGCGCGACGTACTGTCTGGGACGCACCATCTGTTCCGATTGGACGGAACCTTCCTCTCCCCGCATAGCTGATTTCTGTTTCTCTTTAATTTGTAATTCCATTAAATCGCTCTTAAAAAATTAGGGAGCCTTATTTTTGAAAAACTGATAACGGAATCCGAAAATCCGCGTTATTTGACATATTTTGGTAAAAACCGCGTTGAAATTCGCCAGGTCGTTTTCGAAATAACAGCATTCTACTAAACCGCGATTTTCCGCGAAACTATATGGAATATCGAAAAAATAAAATATGACCTACATTAAGAACTCATCGGTTTACCACCAGTTCAAATTTGAAATTTTTTCGTCAAATAGTTTTGGAGAGAAAAAATGGCAAAGTAGACAAAGTTGCTGGCACTCTCAAAAATCGGGTACTTTTTTCACTTAACTCGCGATAAAAGTAAAACCGCGGACCCGAAAATTTCCAAATTAACATGTGATACGCAGAAATGTTCACTGATTACAATAAACTTTACAGCAAATTTTTACGAATATATCGATCTCTAAAGTGAGGGGCCTTGACTTTTTGCACGGATAGTAGTGTAAAACTAGAACTAATACTATACCTAGAACTAGAAACATTCGAATTTAGCCGTGTTAAATAAGACGAGATCTCAGAATTATCATAAGGACTTACTGCATTGATATATTGCGAGTTTTATGAAATTCCCTGTATAAGATTAATTTTTGTTACTCCCTGTATAAAATAAATCACGCCACTTTTTCTTAACCAATCAAAATTTAGAATCGTTTGGTTACCATGGAGATTGACGCAATAAAATAATCAACAAAATAAAAACAATTATTCTTGTGACGCCGACTTAACGGGATTTGAATCACGTTTTCTCCCAATAAAAGAAGAATCCCGTTTTATCCCGATTCGATAATTTCCTGCGAAACTGTTTTTATCATAAATTGATTACGTTTAATTGATTTTTTTTTGATTACGTCATTTAAAAATAGATGGCGTTGTTTTAATTTTTACTTCAAACGTCATTAAATGACAAGTTATTTTTTCTCTATTTTTTGTATTGTATTGTTATGTAGAGGTAATAAAATGATAGATCGATAATACACAGAGGTTTATTACTGGGTCGAGCCATAAATATCGTCGCGTGAAAATAGCAACAAGATTTTAAGTAAAAAAAAAATGTCTTACTCATACCTTAACTAAAATGTTTGACATTTTATCCAAAAAGCCTCTACTGAATACCCCCGCGTTACTTCCACACTTTCTTGACATTGTTTGCGTTGTACAAACGACGTATTCTTGAAAACCGCTAAAAAGAAAAAGAATTAATGACGTAAAAATCGATTCCTTCAAGTAAATGAAGTGTTTATAATTTTTTTTCGTCGATAAATATTATTTTTTAATGGGTTGTGAATTATTTATCTATTTAATTTTGGGTTGGTTCCAAATTTCGTTAATTTTTTTTTTGAATCAAGTTGAAATTGGGGGATTAAGATCGATTTGAATTCGTAATTAATCCGGATTAGGAATTGATTTTATCGCAACGATTAATGTAATCGATTCCTTTTTTAGTTGGAATATTTTCTGAGTGGACAAATAAGTCCGGCGAATTTAAATATAAATTACCCTGAATGCAAATTGTGCTCAAACTTTGCATAATTTTCAACACTACTTTAAGGTGGGTAAAGTTGCTTTCTCATTTTCCGGCGTTGTAATTGAAACTTAAATATAAATAACTAAAAAAGATAATTATATTTTTTCTTAATGATTGATTTTTTTCTGTTAAATCGCGATTTTTTCCAATAATCGTAAAACGTTTATCGTAAATTTTTAAAGGCGATTTCCAAGGTAGTAGCGGAAAATGAGAAAATCACCAAGGAATTCGCCCTTAAAGAGTTGTTTATTTAAAAAAAAGAATTTTTATCCAAAAAGATGAAAATACAAGAGTATAAATAACGTTTTTAGTATTAAAATTTCAGCTTGGAAATGTCACACGTCCGGAATTATCTCGCGAATTAGAAAAAACCCGAATGCAAATGTAATTTGCAAGGACCGTAATAGACTTTTATTTTTCACCGTTCTATTTATTTTATTTTTTTGTTTAGTACAAAAATTTGAATATGTCCCGAGACAAAAATTAACTTAAACCAAAACGCAAATTAAATAAAAAAAATATTTTTATTTGTCTCACCAACACAAGCTTTTCAGTCTTTCATCGGCGATATCACGTCTTTTCTTGGAAATAATCGCTTGTGGCGTGGTAAGTTGTTCGTCTTGAACCTGAAGGACTTTTAAAGCTTTGGAATATTTTCGAATGCAAATTTCATTTTCTGGCGCGGCCTGTTTCATGCAAGGTGCAAATTCCAAATACTCCTGTTGATACGTTCCATTACTGCATAAATCGTGAATCATGTGATTCGGATCGCTGAACAATTTTTGAAAATGACGATGTCTGTCTAATGGCCAACAAGAACGAGTGTAACGATGAATACATCTAATGGCTTTTTTTAGATTTCTGTAACAAAAAGTAATAATTAAAAAAAATCGATGACGAACAAAACATTTTTTTTTAATTGATGAATGTTTCGAGGTAGCAAACGAGTATAAAAAGAAAAAGCGAGCCGATTGTAGTCATTTAATATCGAATCAATTTTACGTGAAAAAACACAATAGGTTGGGTTTCGGAAACGCAAATGGAGCATTAACCCAGTTTCTTTACTACGATTTTTAAAAAACAAAGCGATTTTAAAAAGTACAATTTGAATTTTTAATTTTTTTTAATTGGAAATATAATTTTTATTATACCAGCAAAATATGAATGCAGTAACCATAGTTACGAAACTACTATACCAGTGGTGTCCATAACGTCGATCGCCAAGAAAATCATGAATCTGAAATATCTATATCTGGGCCTCAGAACATCGATTTTGATCAAAAATTAGTGGACACCACTGCTCTAAATCGATTAAACGTCAAAATTGTTGATTTTCGAAAATTTACTCAATCATCATAACTCATAAACTAAAAGTAATGGGGAAATATTTTTTATACATAAAACCTTAGTAATGGACCATAAAGACTAGATCCATAAAAAGATTGAACCCAATTATTACCATTTTTTATTTATAAGCTCTAAATCGATTAAACATCAAAATTGTTGATTTTCGAAAATTAACTCAATCATAACTCATAAACTAAAAGCGATGGGGAAATATTTTTTATACATAAAACCTTAGTAATGGACCATAAAGACTAGATCCATAAATAGATTGAACCCAATTATTACCATTTTTTATTTATAAGCTCTAAATCGATTAAACATCAAAATTGTTGATTTTCGAAAATTAACTCAATCATAACTCAAAAACTAAAAGCGATGGAGAAAAACTTTTTATACATAAAACCTTAGTAATGGGCCATAAAGACTAGATCCATAACAAGATTGAACCCAATTATTACCATTTTTTATTTATAAGCTCTAAATCGATTAAACATCAAAATTGTTGATTTTCGAAAATTAACTCAATCATAACTCAAAAACTAAAAGCGATGGAGAAAAACTTTTTATACATAAAACCTTAGTAATGGGCCATAAAGACTAGATCCATAACAAGATTGAACCCAATTATTACCATTTTTTATTTATAAGCTCTAAATCGATTAAACATCAAAATTGTTGATTTTCGAAAATTAACTCAATCATAACTCAAAAACTAAAAGCGATGGAGAAAAACTTTTTATACATAAAACCTTAGTAATGGGCCATAAAGACTAGATCCATAACAAGATTGAACCCAATTATTACCATTTTTTATTTATAAGCTCTAAATCGATTAAACATCAAAATTGTTGATTTTCGAAAATTAACTCAATCATAACTCAAAAACTAAAAGCGATGGAGAAAAACTTTTTATACATAAAACCTTAGTAATGGGCCATAAAGACTAGATCCATAACAAGATTGAACCCAATTATTACCATTTTTTATTTATAAGCTCTAAATCGATTAAACATCAAAATTGTTGATTTTCGAAAATTAACTCAATCATAACTCAAAAACTAAAAGCGATGGAGAAAAACTTTTTATACATAAAACCTTAGTAATGGGCCATAAAGACTAGATCCATAACAAGATTGAACCCAATTATTACCATTTTTTATTTATAAGCTCTAAATCGATTAAACATCAAAATTGTTGATTTTCGAAAATTAACTCAATCATAACTCAAAAACTAAAAGCGATGGAGAAAAACTTTTTATACATAAAACCTTAGTAATGGGCCATAAAGACTAGATCCATAACAAGATTGAACCCAATTATTACCATTTTTTATTTATAAGCTCTAAATCGATTAAACATCAAAATTGTTGATTTTCGAAAATTAACTCAATCATAACTCAAAAACTAAAAGCGATGGAGAAAAACTTTTTATACATAAAACCTTAGTAATGGGCCATAAAGACTAGATCCATAACAAGATTGAACCCAATTATTACCATTTTTTATTTATAAGCTCTAAATCGATTAAACATCAAAATTGTTGATTTTCGAAAATTAACTCAATCATAACTCAAAAACTAAAAGCGATGGAGAAAAACTTTTTATACATAAAACCTTAGTAATGGGCCATAAAGACTAGATCCATAACAAGATTGAACCCAATTATTACCATTTTTTATTTATAAGCTCTAAATCGATTAAACATCAAAATTGTTGATTTTCGAAAATTAACTCAATCATAACTCAAAAACTAAAAGCGATGGAGAAAAACTTTTTATACATAAAACCTTAGTAATGGGCCATAAAGACTAGATCCATAACAAGATTGAACCCAATTATTACCATTTTTTATTTATAAGCTCTAAATCGATTAAACATCAAAATTGTTGATTTTCGAAAATTAACTCAATCATAACTCAAAAACTAAAAGCGATGGAGAAAAACTTTTTATACATAAAACCTTAGTAATGGGCCATAAAGACTAGATCCATAACAAGATTGAACCCAATTATTACCATTTTTTATTTATAAGCTCTAAATCGATTAAACATCAAAATTGTTGATTTTCGAAAATTAACTCAATCATAACTCAAAAACTAAAAGCGATGGAGAAAAACTTTTTATACATAAAACCTTAGTAATGGGAGAAAAAGACTAGATCCATAACAAGATTGAACCCAATTATTACCATTTTTTATTTATAAACTCTAAATCGATTAAACATCAAAATTGTTGATTTTCGAAAATTAACTCAATCATAATAACTCATAAACTAAAAGCGATGGGGAAATATTTTTTATATATAAAACCTTAGTAATGGACCATAAATACTAGATCCATAAAAAGATTGAACTCAATTATAAATATATGCGTTTGACAGCCAACCTAATGCTATTTATGTACTTTCCCCTTAATTACAGTTGTTCTATAATTCTGATACTTTAAAATTTCTTCTTTTTTCGTTCATCAATTAATCTTATTCCATCTTTTTTCTCTATTTCACACATTTGTTTGATTTTATCATAGACATCTCAAAAACAAAACTAGATAATATCGTAGTATTATCGCGTTATAATCTGTTTTAAATTAGTAGACACACGCTATACCGCGGTTGGCTTTGAAATCATCAATCAAAACGCGGGGTCATCGCTATGCATCGCCATTAGTAAGCTGCAAATAAACACGTAATTAGCCGGTATGAGACTAGGCCTTGACGCGCGCGTTTGTAAAGTTTCCGTTTCAATCCCAAAAAGCTGCCGCCACCGCCGCTGCGTTTGCAAATTTCGGCCTGTGTCGACGATAAAGGGCTTAATCCGAGCAGCACGCATTCAAATGGACTCGTTAGGGCATCGGACCGTGACTTAACACGCAATTGATGTGCCATACATCATCAATATCATCATCAGATAGTTAGTTAAAATTAGATTGTTTATTAGTTTTTGTTTAAAAAAAAATTTTATAAAAACAAGTTGATTTTTTCTGGGTGGGAATATAAAAAAATTGGGCGAACTATCAAAAAATTACAAAGTGCTGGCGTCGAATTAAAAATTCCGCAAACGCGGCCGGACATTTACAAACAAAAATTCGAGGGTTTCTAACCAACCAAACGTCGACACCAGCAAGAGTTGCAGTAGCGCCAGGAGCAGTCCCATTATCTCGACTCTAACGAGCCGTTTTTATCGCGGTGTTTCACGCCGAAACTTAAAAAACTCTAGAGATTTTCACGGATTTAAAGAGTAGGGGGCGTTTATGTCCTACTTTAAACCTACTTTTTTTTTCCAAAAAAATTTATAACTAAATACTTACAACTTCCGGTTAGAAATGTAAAATTTGGCATATTTGTGATCTTCGTTAAAAATACTTTAAAATGAGTCCAAACATGATACGTTTAACTTTAGTATTACCCGAGATATAAGCAACTTCCGGTTTTAAATGTCAATGTCAATTTTGACATATTCTTAATATTCATAAACTGTTTTAAAATTTATCACAAAAAACGAAAATATAGGAAAAAAAACTTAAAAATTTTAAGGTTGGTATTAATATTTAAAAATTGTATTGCTAACTTCACCATGAAGTTGTCAACCTTTGAACCTTTGGTTTAAAATGTCAACCTCAATTTTGACGTATTTGTAATCGTCATTAAGAATCCTTTGAAATGAGTACCAACACGACATATTTCATTTCAATATTAATGAAGTTATGGCCAATTTCCGGTTTGAAATGTCAACGTCAATTTTGACAAAATGTCTTAAAATAAATATAATTCTTCATAAAAAATGAAATACAAGAAAAAATTTCGAAAATGAAGGTTGGTATTAATATTTAAAAATTATGTTGCTAACTTCATTGTTGCCAACTTCAGATATTTTTCAACTTCTTGATATTTTTTATTCTAACTTTTTTGTTTTTCGAGATCAATGCGTCATGTTTGGTCTCATTCGAAAGGTTATTTATTAAAGATTACGAATACATCAAAATTAAAGTTGACATTATCACCATGAAGTTGTCAAACTTTGGTTTGAAATGTCAACCTCAATTTCGACGTATTTGTAATCGTCATTAAGAATCCTTTGAAATGAGTACCAACACGACATATTTCATTTCAATATTAATGAAGTTATGGCCAATTTCCGGTTTGAAATGTCAACGTCAATTTTGACATATTCGTAATTTTATCAAAATGTCTTAAAATAAATATAATTTTTCATAAAAAACGAAAATACAAGAAAAAATCTCAAAAATTAAGGTTGGTATTAATATTTAAAAATTATGTTGCTAACTTCATTGTTGCCAACTTCAGGTTTAATATTTTTTATTCTAACTTTTTTGTTTTTCGAGATAAATGCGTCATGTTTGGGCTCATTTTAAAGGTTATTTAATAAGGATTACGAATATATCAAAATTAAAGTTGACATTAACACCATGAAGTTGTCAACTTTGAAATGTCAACCTCAATTTTGACGTATTTGTAATCGTCATTAAGAATCCTTTGAAATGAGTACCAACACGACATATTTCATTTCAATATTAATGAAGTTATGGCCAATTTCCGGTTTGAAATGTCAACGTCAATTTTGACATATCCGTAATTTTATCAAAACGTCTTAAAATAAATATAATTTTTCATAAAAAACGAAAATACATGAAAAAATCTCAAAAATTAAGGTTGGTATTAGTATTTAAAAATTATATTGCTAATTTCATTATTGGCAACTTCAGGTTTAATATTTTTTTATTCTAACTTTTTTGTTTTTCGAGATAAATGGGTCGTGTTTGGGCTCATTTTAAAGGTTATTTAATAAAGATTACGAATATAATAATGAAATTAAAGATGATGTTGAAACACTTACGGACAAATATTATCGAGATCAGCTTTAGTAGCACCAAAAGTTAAACCTTTATCGGTTAAATTATCCAACGCAGCCGTGCAACTTTGAAATTGTTCTAAGGCGCAACTATTCGCCTTAATTCTTGTTATCACTGAAACAAAAATTGTGAAATTAATTAAATCATTTCGATACGACAATTTCGAGAAAAGCAATCGCGTTCTTTCCTCAAAATCTCTCAAAGGAACGACATAGTAATAACAACCAAACAAATCCCAAAAGGTTACACTCTCGAAATGTGATTATATCATCTCTCTCTTTGTTATTGGTTCCAATTTTTTTTGCCCGTTAGGTTTCATTTTTTTTTGACGCGCATGTTTCCACCAGAAAAAAAATTTTTCGTGTTTGGGTTGATATGTATGGTGAAAAGTGATGGGATTATTACGAATCACAACACGTTGTTTAATTAGTTTATTAGTTAGTTCTTTTCCTCCGATTTTTTTTCTTTATTTTTAATCAGTTTTGGGTGGTTTAAAAGAAAATGATGAAATGGGGAAGAAAAGAAATTTGTGGTGGGCAATCTCGAGATTAAAAATGTATTTTATTGTCTCTATAAATATCGTTCGCGAACAGACAGCTGACTTTTCGCTTTTTCCAACCCGACCCTTAAAGGTCATGAATTTTTAGTAACGGACTCTGCGACTCGGTTAAATTTGTAAGCATTAGCTTTTCCGTCCTGAGACTCTTCTTTTCCCGGACGAAAAGCAAAGTTGCATTGCACGCTATACATACGTTAAAAGAGTCACAAAAAAGAATTTAAAAAAAAATTGTACCAAAGTTTTCTTTTTGCAGGTAAATTTTGTTTTTTGAGGTAAATTAATCTTTTTTTAAACAACAATAAGTGTATTTGTCGTTTGAAATTTCCTGTTCTAAAAGTTAAACATTTAACAATCCGCAAAGACCTTAACCCGACCCCTACCGGTAATCAATCAAAGCCTCTGTGCATAGGTTACGGGTTTGTACACGCAAACATCACGCCGACAATGTCATCATTCAAGAGACCTAACTCGGATTAGTACGGACCTGACTATACAAACATCTTTTGATCCTAATTTATATGTATATAAATTAATTTGATCTTTTTATATTAAAAAAATTACTTTATAGTAGTTTTAGTGATTTAGCACTGTCACTAGAATTAACACTAGACCTAGAACTAGAAACATTCGGGTTTAGCCGTCTTGAAAGACGCCCGGCTAAACCCGAATGATTCTAGTTCAAGGTGTAGTGATAGTTCCAGTGATCTAACACTGTCACTAGAACTAACACTAAAACTAGAACTAACACAATAGATCTAGTGTTAGTGCTAAGTAGAGCTGTTTAGCTTTATATAGCGCTAGATTGTTGTATATTTGTATTGAACTAAAATTAGAACTAACACTAGACTTAGTACTAGAAATATTTGGTTTTAGCCGTGCGTCTGATTTTGCACTAGGAGTATCACTAGAACTATCACAAGACCTAGAACTAGAATCATTCGAATTTAACCGTCTTTTGAGACGTGCGGCTAAACCCAAATGTTTCTAGCTCTATGTCTACTGTTAGTTCTAGTTTAATATCGTTAAAACTAACACTAGACCAAAAACTAGCAACATTCGGGTTTAGCCGTCTTAAGAGACGAAGGGCTAAACCCGAACGTTTCTAGTTCTAGGTCTAATGTTAGTTCTAGTAACAGTGCATGTGTAAAACTAGAACTAACACTATAACTAGCACTAGAAACATTTGGGTTTAGCCGCACATCTCAAAAGACGGCTAAACCCGAATGATTCTAGGTCTAATGTTAGTTCTAGTGACAGTGCTAGTATAAAATTAGAACTAACACTAGACCTAGAACTAGAAAGTTTTTCCAATTTTGCTAGTTCTAGGTCTCGTGTTAGTTCTAATTTGAATTAATAATTAGGTGAATGCTATGCTTTTGAGATGGACAAATTTTATTTTCGGCTCAACCGGTTTCAACTATTTTTAGTAATCTTCAGGAGCTTTAGCCACGTCAACTTTACGTTTAATTTTCAAAATCTGGAATCATCTTCTTATTTATAATCGTTTTCTCAAATTCCTTGCTGTTAATTATTGTCAAAAATGTCTCCAATTCCGTGTTGTACCTTCTTTTTATGTTATTCACTACATTAACCCTTTCGTGACGGAGTATTTTCAAGATCATTTAGCAAGCCCACATATACAAAAACGTATGCGTCATGGTGTGCAATCTTACTACTATAAAAATGTAGACCGAGATTTAGTACCCTCACAATCTACTGGATGACGTTGTAAACTGAATTTGCAGCAATCTGCATTATCTACACAAACAAAGCGCTTGTAACCATAGAAAAATTTATGTATAACGTCAAACTCAGAGGTGAAAGCAAACGTCACATTTTTGTTTTGTCGTTTAGTGTAATAATTGGTGATAACCCCTTTGTATAAGCAAATTTTCTTCCTTACGTTCTTTTGGTTTAGTGTTTTATATCCTTTAGTTAAGTATTTAAATAAGTTAGGGCCACTTTTAGCACGTCTTGATAAGTTTATCCAATAGATAAATTGGCGCTTTTTGCCAATGAGAGCAATATACGTTAAAAATTATGAATATTATCTTGGAAAAACTTTAAATTCATGTTTTTTCCTATTTATTTGGAAAATGCACTTGACCTCTTCAAAATAAAGTAATGGTATAAACCGGTATAGACCTATATTTAAATTTTGCGCTTTAACCTAATTAGTTCCCTCACAATCCCCTTGGGAACGTTTGTACCAAAAAATAGTGGGGAGATGACCTTCTATATACATAATATACAGGGTGGTTCAGTTTTTAATCGGGAAACTTTACTAGGACGTAGTACTTGCCAAAATAACACAAGTTTTTTATATAAACATAGGGTCGCAACTCTTTTGTTTTCGAGCTATGAGCGATCAAAGTTGAGCTAAAAATTTACATTTTATTATTTATTTCGGCTATAAGTAAACCGAAGAATTTGAAATTTGGTATGTATTTACTACTGGTTAACATCTTGTTTTCTAGCATACCTTAAGCTTCCCTAGCGCCCTCTAAGGGGATGAAATTCACCACCCCCTTGGTTCTTTTTAGAAGAACTTTTTAACGCAATGCAATATTAACATAGAAAAATATGGGTTGTACAGNTAAGAAACACGACTCTTCCTTTTACAATTGAGAAAAATATTAGAGTTGAAGACTTCTGGCATGATATTTCTCTAATGAAAAAAGGCGATACACAACTGTATCCTTTATTAAGCCAATTTGTGAGGAAATTACTTGCACTTCCACACAGCAGTGCGAATGTGGAAAGACTGTTTACTGTAGTTTACTGTCGTTAATTTATTAAAAACTTGCAATAGAAACAAATTGTCCACTGATACATTGCAAGGACTGCTACATACAAAACGATTTATCAACTTACAAGAACAACCTACTGAAGACCACTATAAATTATTCAATCAAAACATGTATTCTTTTAAAGAATTTACATTTACTTTACTTTTTTCTTATTTTTATCCTGAAAAACTGCAAGATCCTCGAGTAGGCAAGGTTGTTAAGTATTGGTTATAAGTTTATTCCACTTTTTCTAATTATCATAGAAACTCTCCTCAAGTTGCTGAAGTAACTAGTGTTACAAAATTAATTCTTTTAGACTAATCATCTTAAATTAATATATAAATTCCCTATTTTAAAGTGAATAATTAAATAAAACTAATTATTTTTACATAAAATGAAACAAAATTTAGATATATTTATAGTTATCTAATATTACAAACAGTAAACATTATGCAACTTATATTGCTCTGCTCTAGTAACGTCTAAAAGTAGTGAAACTACTACTTTCCATAGTGTGATTAATTGGAAACTACCAACTTTTAGAATCGTATCTACCTCCTAGACATATTTTGAGTTGGCAACGCTGCCTAGAACTAAAATCATTTGGATTTAGCCGCCTTTTGAGACGTGCGGCTAAACCCAAATGTTTCTAGCTCTATGTCTACTGTTAGTTCTAGTTTAATATCGTTAAAACTAACACTAGACCAAAAACTAGCAACATTCGGATTTAGCCCGAACGTTTCTAGTTCTAGGTCTAGTGTTAGTTCTAATTTTAATTAATAATTAGGTGAATAAAATAACTTTTGAGATGGATAAATTTTTCGGCTCAACCGGTTTCAACTATTTTTAGTCATCTTCAGGAGCTTTAGCCACGTCAACTTTACTTTTAATTTTCAAAATTTGGAATCATCTTATTTATAATCGTTTTCTCAAATTCCTCGCTGTTAATTATTGCCAAAAATGTCTCCAATTCCGTGTTGTACCTTCCTTTTATGTTATCCACTACATTAATCACTAAACCAATCAATTCACTATCAATTTTAATTGTTTACAACGTTCGATTATTTTATATTTTTATTGGAGTAAAAGTGGAAGTAAATTCTTAGTTCTAGTTTTAGTTTAAGGAATAACTTGAATGCTTCTAAGTAATGCATTTGTTGAAAACTTTATTTTAAGTACTAGAATCACGGTTTTGGCTTGTAAAAGTGGACTTTTGGCTACAACGACCACTCCCGTAGTTATATCGAGGTTTTACTGTATTAAAAAAGATTAAAAACGTCAATTTTTTTGACATATAATAAACGTCATTTTTGACAAATTGATTTTACCAACTTAAAAAAAATAAAATCCCCAAAATAGATTTGAACCAAAATGTGATTATCAAGCCGTCATTCCCAACCGTAACGTGTATTAATTCCCAGTTTCCGGTCGACTAACTATTCCCACCGCGCACCAGGTCCAACTATATACTATATATACGGGGTGGACACGTCTGTATATCTTCCGTGGAGGCGTCCGTGACGGAACGTTTCTACGCGCGCAATTGTCGTCTCTAATTGATTAACAATCGGTAATAGGCGTGCGAGGTAATCTGAAACGGAGATCTCATAGGGAAGAGGCCAACATTGCTGGTCGGCTAACGTCCGAATTTAATGGGATAAGCGCCCCCTGCCGGTAGCGACGCACCGCGTCGACCAACTATCTCACCGCAGAACCGTATCGGAGGCAGATTCAGCGTCAGCCGTTATCGGCACTTCACACTTAAA